ATAACACTTTTCTGATAAATATTTTTAAATGTGATATTTTTAATTTTAAATAATATAAAGCATGTTTTTTCAATTAATTAAAATGGTTTGTATAATTTAATAAATAAAAAAATTATATATTAACAACAATATATTAAGTCTAATTTAATGTACAACCGTTAATAATGGAAGTGTGATATCTCAAAAACAAGAGCTAATAGTCAAAAATAAATTCCATATTTGATTCAGCAGGTGAAATAAATATAAAATCAGTTAAAAAAAACTAGCACCAAAGTATATCTTGACCAGCGTTAATTAATGTTAACTGTTAATTCTTGCCCAATAAATAATGTGAAAAAATGCAGAAACATTTGCTTGTTTTTTCAATTACGCATTTCGTGAACTACGGTTAATTACACATTAACGATGAGAATGAATGACATAGTGAAACCGAAAGAGCTCTGAAATAAGGTCTTTCAATATTTTACAGTTATATTGTTTCCAGGTTTTTACATCGATAGTGCAGACGTCGATCTTATAATTTGTATGCTATAGGTAATTGTTTTCATCACATGCGTGACCTCAGGGGTGTATTTATGGGTGGTTAGGGTCAATCTTAGTCCCACCATCGAAATTTCAAAAAACAATTTTAAGTCTGCTTTTACCCAGTAAAATTTAAATTGTATAAGCTCATTTTATCAATGTTATATGAATAATTGGTGTCAAATTGTTCTTGTTGTGTCATTACACATTACTATACATACATTACATATATTACTATACTTACATTATCTATTTAGATATCCGTCAATGCTGGTTATATCAATTAAATTTTAAATTTAATATAAATTGTTTCATTATTATTATGTTTAGGCCTGTACGCCGGAACCGTCTAATAGGGGTTAAAATGTCTATGTTAGTTAAAAAGTCAATAAAAAAATACACGTTAGAATATCCATAATCAAAAATCAATAAATGTTAACAAATGTCTTAACATTTTGAACAACTGACTTTTTAGTTAAATTGTACTCTATCGATGGTCGCATTTACAACGATAATCGACAGTAGGTGAAAAATGCTCGAAAATTAAATAGAAAAAGGCGTCAAATCAAGAAAATTGACATTGTTGAAACAAAAATAGATAACTATAAAAGAATGTTTTTGGTTTAAGACGGTTTAATTTTTATGGAATGAGAACTATATTATATTCTTATATATTCGTATATATTCTTAGTAAAAATGTATGTAAAAAGATCCTCAATTCGGTGGGGGGGTAAACGCCCCCCCCTTGTTCGCGAGCCTGATTATGTTAATTTTCTACTATTATGTAGGTATTTTATTTTATTAATTTTATAAAAGTCATGATTATTCAAAAATTCAAATTATAATTGTTTACTAAAATTCTAATTTTTGTTTTTAATTGGTTAAATTGTGAAATTTTGTTTAGAGGAAATTCCCTAGCTCCTCCTCACCAGACAAATTTTATAAAATAGATACCCTGTATGCAAGACGGTAACTGGAAAACAATTTCGGGGGAGTCTAACATTATTATTTAATACAATTTATAGTTAATAAACTATATTCACTACTAAAATGTTTCTATTTTTGAAAATTTCGGGGGGGGGGGGGGCCGGGCCCCCGGGCCCCCCCCCAGTTACGGCCTTGTCTGTATGTACAATTACATAAGCTTCAAGTACGTATCATTATTTTTTCTACCGGAACTCATTAAAGTACTTAAACCAACTTTCGACATACGAACTGTCGACAACAATCTTTATAATTGTATTTTACCTGTAAGAAAAAAAAAGAGCGAAAGAAAGTGAAAGAGACAAAGTCGAACCCTTCGACATCACTAAATCATTTCTGGAATTGAACCACAAACGTAGGTTTCTTTTGGTGATGATTTTTTAGATTTTTTACTATTAGCATTCCAGTTAACTTATTTTATGTAATTTAAATTAATTGCTGTAATTATTAATCTAAAGTGATAGATTATTTGTTATTGAGTTGAAGACAGAGCTTATATTAGGTTTGGATATTTTGATGAATATTTTCGATAATTGTTTTTTGTAGGCTTTCATTAAGAAGTCAATTTGACATGAATTATGTATATAACCGTATTTAGTGCATTGCGGAAGGTCATTTGGTACTCGATGTGGTTCGGTGATGATAATACAGTTTAATAACTTGTTTAGTTTAAAAATATCTAGCGCATAAGTGTTTGTTAGTTGTATTGCCATTAGTGAGGTCAGAGTTTAATCTTTGTTATTGTCTTAATACGGATTTTACTGGAAATTTTAACTAACTTCGTTCTTTCTTAACTTTTAGCTCCGTGATTGACGTATGTAAGTTTATTATCATTACGAAAATATCTTTTTAGTTTTCTAGCCTGTACAGAAACCTGAATGAGTAGTTAATTTTTTGATCAAGAAATTTGGTTAAGGTGCGAAAGTCATCAATGTTTTCTACGATTACTTTTATTTTATAGAACACAATGTGGAATAATAATAATTTATAAAGACTTACGATATTTCAAGGTAAAACTGTAAAAATTGCGATGTATTGGTTATGAACTGACATGCCATGATTTGGCATGGGAGAGAAAGCATTTTTGGTTAACAAGTCATAGATTTTTGCTGTATATCTTGGTATTCTAAATTCGTTTACGGAGTTGGAAGTTGGTGGATCAGAATTGTCGATGTTTGAATATAATACTTAACAGTACTCGGAATTAACGTATGGCCTCTACAATTTCCAGACATGTACTATATACTAATTCTATGGTAATGATACGGAAGTAAAACGAAATCCATAAAAACTTCGAGTAGATAATAAAAATATTATATGACATATTATAACAACATTTACATTGATAAAATTAGTCGAAAATATTTTAAACCACCCGTGTGCAAGTCATGGTTTTGAGTATTACATGTATTTTGATATAGTAAAATGAATAATTTATATTATATGTATTGTAAATAAAAGATATTAAATTCCCTGTCAGTAGATATAAGAATCATCTCTAATACGATTTGAATTGTTCTCTTCTAATATTCGCCGTCTGACAACAAAGGATTTAGTCAAGTGCCTCAATCGTAAATTAATAAAAGGATATTTTCGTATGTTATTTCCGTAACAGATTACGGCAAAATGAAATATTTCGTGGATTCCATGAATTCCTTTTACTATAGAGGAATACATATAGTTTTATAATTAGTGTGATTATCCCTGGAGTAAACCAATAGATGTTACGTGGTGCGATCTTTTAGAGGACTTTTTCAGTGTTCAATGCTAAAAATTATGTTCTAACGTATATTAAATTTGAAAACATATGCTGCTGTACACGATCAATAATCTAGAGTTGTATTTTGGAGAGGTGACGGGATAAATACCACACCTTGTACTTTTTCCCATGATAATTATTACCTACTCCCATTTAACCACCGGTACGCATGGTTCATTCATTTTGTACAACTATAACTCTGGACAAAAAAAAAGTCCACGAGACTGATATCATATTTATTTTGTACTCTATAGTCCATTTTTTATCACTTCGTGGACAAGATACTAGTGTAATACGAAACTTTTGATAGTTATACGGCGCTTAAGTGTTAACAAAAGAAAAAAATGCTTGTATAACTAATATTATAAATATAGTAATATCGTAACATAATAATAATAAATATATATTATGGCTTTCATAAATCTTAAATATTTTGAAGATACTTAATTAGATTATTTTTTTTTTTTGTAAACATCTTTTCAGGTAGTTGGTTTGTAAAATAAATTATCTTAATATAACACGTAATTGGATGTTTCACTAGAATAATATTGTACTTAAATAATAGATTTTTTTTATAGGTATTCTAAGCCATTCGAAACCATTTGAAGTAAAAGAAAAAAATGTTGTACAGCAGGCCTTAGGAAAATGGATTTTCTTAAAAATAATATTGCTTTTTATTGCTAAAAATAATGTTATCATATGCACTGTTTTCTGAAACAAACAATTTATTACTAATAAAAAATTAATACATTTTATACAATTATAGAAATTTAAATTACAATTTTATTTGTCTGAGGTTTTTCTAGGCAGCATGTCTAGGCATGGGAGTATTTTAGGGGGGAGGAGCAAAGTGGCGATCAGTCCCCCTCTGAGTCCGTAATGAAGGAATTTATTATATGTGAGATACACATTTTAAATTTTTTTAATGTGAATCATTTTATAACGAAATCAAATTACGCGTTGTTGTGAATACTGAATTAGGCTTTTTGTCAGGTCTACACTTAGTGAAAAATCAAATAAAACACAAACGTAACTTTCAAAACACAGACAGGTGTTAAAAAGTCAGCGTAAAGGCCACATTATTTTATTTTGTCCAAGGACCTCAAAATGCCTAAATTAGGCCCTGGTAAATATAGTTATAGTAATACTGGTAATAGTTATTTTGAAAAATTAACTACGTGGTACATACATTATATTTGTATATATTGTAAATAATTGTCCTTGTTTTCACTTGTGATATTTATTAACTTTTTATCATTAATTTATATACTACCAATGTCCTCTTCACTCTCTACTACATAGGAAAAATTGAAAAATACCATCAATAAATTGCTTTTTATATTTCTACTAAACTATTTTACGTTTATTTCATTCATTGTATATATTTAAGTAGTAAAAATGATGAATACCCATTAATTTTACCAGAAATAACATAAAACTTGGTTTTAACTTATAACTTGAAACCTGATAAAACATAAAATCCAATTTTAACCTTTAATCTGAGAAAAATTATGCTGTTTTAACACTCTCTACAATAAACGACCAATTAATATTTACAAATCAAAGAAATTAAAAAAAATTAAATTAAGTAAATCAGCATTATTGAATGCCTATTTAATCCGTGTATCTATGTATTTGTTATAACATATACAATATAATTTACCAGCGTATTTTGAAATTATGGAGGTGGTATATATATAGCCACTGCTACCATTGTAGTCACATAAAATACATATTACATTAACAGACAAACATATTTTATTCAAAATTCATATAACAACATTTCTTTCACTGTCTATTTTTCACTTGCATTCTGTAACAGCAGATATCACTTTCTGTCTGAAAAAATATAATTACATAATACTACAAAATCATCAAAATAATATACACAACAAATTAGCTAGAATTAATAATAATACATAATAGTTTGAAATACTTATTATCATTATAAGGGTGAGGAAGATTTAAAATGCTTGTTAATAAAACATTTAAGTTTAGGTTAAAATAAATTATATTGTTATAATTATGTTTTAATTTAATAATTTTTTATGAAGATAATATATATGTATTAATTATATCTATTGAGGCTTATTGCTTCTAACAGTATTAATAAAAATAATTAAACCCATATACAAAATAATGGAGTGTTATCAACAGCATAACATGAACATTGCCTATGTCAATAGTTCAGTATAGAAATATCAATAAAAGATATACATTTACAAGAATACATATTATCCAAAACATTGTAAGATCTGTTTAAATAGTAACTAATCTGTTTATACCAACAAGTTTCAAAAACATTATTAGTACACTTACTCATATAAAAGTCAATAAAAAATATAATTATTTATTTACAAAAATTAATGTTAAATATAAACTTTAAACAATTAAATTAAATATTGTAATATGAGAACAATATTTACATAAAAAAGATAAACTGAATAATCCATTTTAACAGATTTTATACCTTTACCTGTCAGAAAAAAACCCCTTTTGACTTTTCAGTTAAATGATTTTGTTTGAATACAACATACATTACTTAGCTATTTCAAAAAATCAAAGTCCTATTTATAGATTACAATTATATGATTTTATTTACTTACTTAGAATTTCCTTTAGTCCCAGGCCCCCAATACGGTGCAGGATTCTGTTGATATCGTACTAATCCTTGTAGTGATTTTGGTACAGTATTGTATTTTTTGTCAAATATTATTTCTGTTGTAGGCTCTTTAGATAAAATTGTCTTAGCTGCATCAGAATTTTGTAAACGTTTAGCAGTAACTGGATGTGTTTGAACCCAAGTTCTAATGATGTCCCAAACAACAAATTGAGGTGCATCAGTTTTAACACTATTCTGTGCACAGTGAGATGAAGACACACGGTAGCCAGCGCTTACTAATGCCGAACTACAAATTACCAAAATATAATATAATTGTACATTTTATTTAATCAATTTCAAATATTTTATACAATTGAATAGAACACAGTTCTAATATAGAAAATCTAAACTTCATTAAACAATTATAAAAATAAAAATTATCTACTTAATCCATCAAATTATTTCATTTTTTTATTTAATAATTATTAAAAATTGTAACCATGAAAGACAAAATAGTTGAAGTATTGTATAGTAATTTTAATTTTAATTAATTAAGAATATTATTTATTCTCAAATTAAGTATTGTTAAATAATAACAAATGTAAAGCTGACAAATTATATTATAAAACGATGTATTGTATGATATTATTATTCTTAATTTTAACACTATGCAAAGATAATAATAGACAAAATAGTATGTGGTGAGAAAATCCTTCTAACTAAAATATAATCTTAATTTAATCCTGCAATAGTACTTGAATATATATTTAACTATCAGCAAATTAGAACTTCAATATTTAAATTTTTATTTAAAATATGATAAATATATGTCAAACAAGTTTTTGAGTTACATATTTTTTTTTTTTTTTTTATTAGTAAATAAATAACAGGATAAAATTGCATTTCTAGTAGTAGATTCACAAGATTGAATTTGATAAATAAAAAACATTTAATAAAATAAATACTAACACATTAAAATCAGAAAAAAAACTTATTTTTACTTACAAGACGTATCTGAGTGGCATTGCTTCGCAATGAACAGTGTTAGTGAGTGATGCTACGGTATAATACAATGGGACATCTTGCAATTCTTCTAGCATCATACCTAACATACCTCTCATTCGTTTAATTGTGTTGAATTTTTTTTCAGCTTCTTCATTTTTTAGGTAATTGCACAATTTATCAAGAAAATCTGCATTATACAAAGGATCAGACCATATAGGTCCACCTACCTATAACAAAAATTAATAAATATATTATACACATTATATTTAAAGACCCTCACTTTTTATAAATTGTACAAGAAAATTTGATGTAATTTCTTTATATGAACATTAGAAATATAACTTGATATTTTTGTAATTTAATAATAAAAATAAAAAAATAATACAAATCTTAAAACAATATTTTACAGTAAGACACTTAATTTAAAAACCAATTTCACTTGATCCTTAATTATAATATTTATAAACAACTACTTGATAACTAGGGTGCAGATTTATATGTAATTAAAACTAAAATATATAAACATATATATATTTGTCTTAATCGTAATATGTAATTATAAATTAAAAATATGTATATATTTTGATATATCATTTAGATAAAAAAATTTTAATTTTAATATAAACTATAAGTTTGGTACATAATATATTTAAATAATATGTTAGATTATTAATTAAAATATTTTTATTAAATTATATCTTAAATTATATACCTGAGTAAATTAATTGAACTAGTTCATTGGAAAATAGAATCCTTGTCGTTAACAAAACAATAGGCAACCACGTACTTTTTTAAGTTTTAAAAGCAAATTGCAGTACCAATTCACTGGCACCTGAACAAGATAATATGCGATAACGACCATATACTATACTATAATATAGGATAATAATATATGTAAGATAGATATAGCCTGTAATTACTAGTATATTTTTAACCAGATTTAATATCAATAATGGCAATTTTTTTCAAAATAAGTAGGTATAACCATAGCTTAAAACATTAAGATAGTCCTGAAACATATTTCTAAAGAAGAGTCGTTTGATTACTATCAGTCATTACAAATATTTATGTACACACAAAACGGCATTCTATTTATAGCTATAATATACTATCTACAAATTATCATTGCAAAATTCAAGATGACCTTAATAGATTTAGAGAGAAGTTATGAATTAAATAGATTGAAGTTAAATACCTCTAAGTGTTTTTAAAATATCTTTTTCCTGTTCTAAAAACAAGTTGGAAAATGTATATCATTTTTTTTTAAGACATTATGAAGGAAATTAGTATTGTTTGAGATCTTGGAGGGATATTTCAAGTGAATTTATTATTTTCCTCTTATGTTGATATTTAAGCGAAAGGTCTGAGATGTTTTGGATTTTTAACTAGAAACACGAAGGATTTTAAAAATGAAGTGTCTTAAAACATTCTATACTTCTCTAGTTAGACCAATATTAGAGTACTGCAGAATTATATAGAATCCTTCTCAATCAGGTCTAGTTGAAGCAATTAAGCGGGTTCAAAGGATATTTTTACATCGCATGCTTATAAGCACAATGAATAGATCAACATTAACCAATTGAAGTTAATTCCAATTTCTTCAATTCATGTTACTCTTAATTTAGATTTTCTTGCTAATAGACATAGGTGTGCTGATATTTGCTTTTTGTCTAAATTGGTAAATGGTATGATATCTTATCCTGAATGATTAGTCATTAAACTTCAACATTCTTCAATATCAATCGCATTATTGTTCCACGTTAGTAATTCTATTTCATTAAATTTTGATTTGTTTAGATTTATATATATAAAATTCTTGTTTTTTTTGCTATTTAGTATATATTATTTATGTTTCATTACATTATTTAATTGTTAAGTAGAATCTTTATCATATTCTGTAAAATTTATTTTTACAAATTTATATATATATATATTTTAATAATAATTTGTCAATATCTGTACTAATATTAAAATATGAGTGTTTACTTTATTGTAATTGGGGCTTTAGATGAATGTTAGATGTTTATCTTAAATTATATTAAATTTATCTTAAATAAATAACTACTTACTAGATGAGCAAATCCACAATGTTCACATTTTTTATCAACTGGTGGACCAGATAAAAGATTATATTTCATATTTTTTGAGTCTGACTTTATAGAACCCAATGGTAATAAAGTTGTCATATTACATCCTCTACATTTATACACTGTTGAAATTTTGCTATAAAATAAAGATTATTAATAAAATTAATAACACTATTTGTATTTTTTTTTTAAATTTAAAAGTTAATTTAGTATTTTTACCAATTATATTACCTAGACATTGATTTACACATAAAAGGGCTGGTTCTTATAACTACAAATACCCTTATATAAAAATCAGCGCTTATTGATAACAATGGTTCCATATATCGACCATATCGAGTACAGACATTAGTAATTGTATGTAAAACTATTCTGAGTGCCTAAATAATCACAATGGTAATAATAAATTGAAATTTTTAATAAAGAGAAAAAATTACCATTTCATGACAAGCTGGAGACCTCAAAGATATTGAACCATATTTAGCATAACACGATTCAGGTGTATTACCAGCTAAGACAGCCATATCAGTGCAAGTTACTAATAACAATCCATTATCAGCTAGACAACAAACTGCTGGATCTAATAAATTTGTTGGACATCCATATGGATCCAAATCAACAACATCAAATTTTGTTTCTGATTCAAATTGCCGTTTTCTCATAATATGTCTGTTTTTAAAAATAAAAATTTAAGAATATAAATTTTTTAAACAATTAAAATTTGTAAATTTTGAATAAATATGTCCATTCATTTGTATTTAAAACACACTTAAATATTTTTATAGTTAATTATACTAACATTAAGATTTAACAATTCTCTTTATTAAGATAATAATACTTATTTCTAAATATCTAATTATTTTTAAAAAAAAAATTGAAAAATTCTACTCTTTTAGTTTTTGATTTAGGACTTAAAATGTATAAATACATTTAATATTTCTTATTTCAAATAAAATTTAAAATAAAGATTTTGTTTTTAATTTAAGTATTCTAATTATATAAGTTATTATTTACATATTTTAAATTTATTTTAATTTTTTTGTAAATATTAATACATTTAAGGGCCACAATAAAAAAAATGATTACAATATAAAATCAATAGCTCATTTTACTAATATTTTTAAAGGAGATAACCCTTTTAGTTCTTCAATGTTAAAAATCTTCATCTTCTTACATCTTTATCTTAAAACAATTTTCTCTGGTCAATTTTCAAAAGATATTTGCTATGTAAAGCCCTATTCTAACAATATTAATTTTTAAAACATTATAAACATTAAATAAAATTAATAAGCCAAATTAATTATAATTTTTATACTATACGAGGCATATTCGAAAAGTAAGGGCTGTCTTGTCATAAAAAAATTATAACCATATAAAATAGGTTTCAATAGCACATTTAGTTTCCTACTAATCTGTTTTACTTTTCCACATATAGGCCATTCACTTCCAAGCATTTGTTGTACGCTTCACCAACTTCTTTAACCCCTCTGCATAGAAGCTTGCAAGTTGAATCAGTTTTCAACGGCGTTCTTAAGTTCCTTGTAATTTTCAAAGCGTTCTCCATCGAGCCATTTTTTGAAATGTAAGAAAAAGAAGTATTCAATAGGTGCAAGGTCAAGACTGTACGGTGAGTGGTTAAAAAGTTCCCAATGAAAATCTTAAATTTTCTCTTTTTGGTTAACCAGAGAAACAATTTCATCGGTTTCCATACTGAGCCTACCACTCAGCTCATTGTCATGAAAATTTATTCATCCATTTTTTAAACCACATTTCCATTGTCTAACCTTTCTTTCACTCATTACAGTAGGTCTATAAACTAGGCATAAATGTCGATGAATTTTAACTGCTGAAGATCCTTTTGCACACAAAAATCTTATTACACCGTGAACTTTACAACTGGCAGGTGCAACGATTATCGCAGACATAGTTTACTGTACGCACAGATAGGTAAATTACTATTGAATCGAAAAAATGCCTGAAATAACTGCAAGAGTCGTGCATGAACAGTTATGCACAAGTTTAAATGTATTATGACTTGTCGATTTTGAAATATAAGCGATTGGTCCTTACTTTTTGAATATACCTCATATTATTAGCATATATTATAAATAGAAGTATGAAATTCTTTTGTAAGCATCTTAATTCATATTATTAAAATATAATGCATTCACTACATATCAATATGGTAGAAGGATCAATTATTCTATTAACTGATATTGTTTTGTATATGAGCAAAGCAAAATTGGATACAATTATCAGGTTTGAAAAAGTAAAAAACTTATTACTGCCAAAAATACTTTAGCAATATTAGTTAAGGAAAAAAACTTACGCAGCATCATAAAGAGTAGAGGTAACTAAATTTTGAACATTGTTTTCTTCAATATTTTGATTCATTATTTTCACAGCTGTTTTAGATATATCATTAGCATATATTTGTTTAATTCCTGGAACTTCAAGAGCATATCTTATCGCTCGTAGACCAGTTGCTGCTAATGCTTCCAAAATTTCTAGACCAGACTGTATAAAAAAAATATAATTAATTTAATTTACGTAATTATAGTTTTAAAATAAAATAAACCAAATACATAAATTTAAACTAACTTCAGTTTGGGTTCCTATTTCTAGTTTTACAGGTTCAACTTCTGATGAATCATTTCTATCGGGTGATCTAGGTCTTTTTCTTGATTTTTGTTTTTCACAGTGATGCATTTCAGAAAATACTGAAAGAACAGCAATACTGAAATAACCAAAATTATAATTATTAGATTAAAAATTACAATTCAGTGCATTGACTATTTTTGAATGACATATTTTTATTAAGTTAGGATAATTGATCGCCTTATAGTCAATAAATTATTAAAATTTTTCAAGTAAAGAATTTATGCAAAAAATATTTATTTTTAAGTATAATAAAAATGTACATTTTTTTAACAACCTATACAGTCTTACATATTAATAAACTGTAGACTAAAATTGAATAAATGATATTATATATATATATATGAATTTTACAGAAATAGTAAATATTTATAATGAAAATATTTTATAAGTAACACATTTTTATAATAAATTATTTAATTAATAAATAGAAATAACAAAATTAATATTTTTTTTACAATCTTTAAATCAAGTATCACAAAAGTTTACATAATTTTTAACAATTTAAATTTCAATAGTTTCATATTTTTATTTTTGTGATAGAATATGAGAATATTTTATCTTATTTACTTTTATAATGATAACATTTCAGAAATGCACATTTGTTTAATAAATTACTTAAATTGAATTAAATTGATTTGAATAACTTATTATTACTTAATATATCTTCCATACACAAGCAGTAAAGGAAAACTAAGACTAAAATCTTGAAAAACCATAGCTCCACCATGTATACATCTAGAAAGATAATTCATTTTGGAGTCCAGGATAAACCTTGTAGTTGCTAAGTCTATTTTTTAGTCTACTAAGCTCTTTTTATTTGCTCTAACATAGCAACATAATATAAATATATTAATTTAAATATTTTATAATTTGTAATTCTTTTTTACCTTAAATCTCTGTTAAATTCTTGAACAGGATTATAAAACACTTTACTAGCACCAGGTACACGAATTTTTGCTTTGCCTTCACATATTTCCGTAAATTCGGACGAAGAGTCCATTCTGAATAGGCGACAATCTAAATAGTATAAATAAAGATTAGTCTATTATTAAATATCATAACGAAAATAAACAAACAACAATTAAAATATTTTAATATCATATAAAATTAATTTTATTAAATTATGTTTACCTCTATATAATTATAAAATAAAAAACAATACGATTCGCAGCGCGAATCAGTGATATAACAAAGTTACACACATTTTGAATTTTGTCACAATTCCGTGAATAATAAAACCAATGTTGTTGATAGTTTGGTATGATGTTGGGTACGGTGTAAAACTCCATAATTGATATTGAGGTTAAATCCACCGGTACATACATTTTTTTTCTTATCTTACACAATGTTCTTACTTAAGTTTTGAGAACTAATGAAATTCATAATAGTTTAAAGTTTAAATACATTTTTGATAAAATTTTACAAGTAAAATTGGATTTATAAGTATTTAAACTTTAACTGTGTATTAGTTTTAAGAAAATCGATTTCAATTACACATGCCGTACATTTAGTCTACTTCTATGAAAATGGCACAGTTTTTGTTCCGAGGACTTCGACAGTTTACGGTTTTGGGCAAAACATCCGTGTGTTTCAAATGCGAGCAAAATACGTTCAAATTGATATCATACGTGCGTCCATCATTCGTTTCGTCATTAAACAAATTCTACTGTTCACAAAGTGAAAAAAAACTATCTGAAACTTTAGAAACACGTACAGCTGATCCACTGGATATATTTGGTGAGAATAAAGATGAGAGACTTAAGGAAAAAGAAAAGGCGATAAAAAACTTAAAAATAGGATTTTTTTTTATTGGTGCATCGTTAATAATGATAATTGGTTGTGGTCTTTATGTCTTAATGGCCGATAATTACTATAGAGACAATGAAGATGAGAAAGACATTTATCCTGTACGTGTGTTCAAACGTGGACGTTTGGCAATCAACGAGTTTTTTGAATCCATGCGAGCACCTTCTTATGAAAAATTATTACCAGATCCATTGCCATATCCATATATTCAACCACCTTATACATTGATTATAGAAATGACAGACTTGCTTGTTCATCCAGAATGGACATATTCAACTGGATGGAGATTTAAAAAGAGGCCAAATGTTGATAAATTCCTTGAACAAGTATCACAAAATTATGAAATTGTTGTATTCACAGCTTCCAATGGATTTAATGTTTATCCAATATTAGATAGTTTGGATAAAAATAATGTTATTATGTATAGACTTGTTAAGAATGCTACAGATTATATTGATGGTCACCATGTGAAGAACTTGGAACGTATTAACCGTGATTTGTCTAGAGTCATTATGGTAGATTGGAATGTAGACTCAGTGAAATTACAAAGGGAAAATGCTTTAGTCATACCACAATGGACAGGTGAAGATGGTGACCAACAGTTGATTCAATTAGCAGAATTTTTAAATGTAGTAGCAGCAAGTGAAGTTATTGATGTAAGAGAAGTACTATCATATTATAAACAATTCAATAACCCTCTAGAAGTTTTTAAAGAAAACCAAAGAAAATTATTGGAAATGCAAGAAGAACAAAAACAAATATCGGGTACACTTCCAGTGAATAAAGCTAGAGGTTCATGGAAAGATAAATATCTATATGGAAAATAAACTCTTAACTATTATTACATATTATTTTTGTTTTTTTTTTTTTTACCAAAAATAAAGTAGGTAGTACATTTTAATACTGCTTGATTTTATTTATTTATTGATCTAAAGTTTTACCTTTTTTAATCATAGAAAAATTTGATAAAAGTATATTGAAATAATAAATTAGAATTATTCAATGTTGTAAATAAGTTCTTTAAGAACTACTCTAATACTAATTAAAATACTTGTTATTATTGTACTTGAAATAATACTCAAATATATTAAAAAGTATTTCAATACTAATAAAAAAGTGTTAATATTATAATTGGTAATTATAATATTATAATAGCTATTGTTCACTTACATATGCAAAGATAGTATTTTAAAATTTAAATTAGTAAAAATATAAAGTAAAACCAATCCAGTAAATTGTATATTTAAAATAATTTTTATTCGTAATAAACATTTAGTTTTTTTTTTTTTGTAATTCATGACTTATCAATTATCACTTAATATAAATTAATAGTGGTTATATTTATTATATATATACATATAAAAAAAATCTGTTCAATACCAACAATTTTTTCAATTAATACTCGAGAATTACAATATTTATAACAATATTCTTTCAACTCGGCTTTCGGTAAAACAGATGCTCACCCTAAGGTTAACTTACCTAACACAACTAAGAATAAATAAGAAAAATATATACTGGGATAACAAGGACCAGTCAATAGAATATTTTGGTGTCTTCTTTGCCAAGAAACTCAATTGAAAATATTTATAAAATTATAAATATTTAAGTGATTAAGAAAAACTAAACTAGGTTTGTACACAAATTAAAATTTTATACTCCTCATATAAAAATTATCAACACCTTAAATTAAATGTTAACTTCCACTATTGTTACATGATACTAACTACTTAATGTACCATATCCTGAACTGTATCTTTCTGACAAATATAAATTACGTGATTCAGAAAATCTCACACAAATAGTTTTCTATATTTTTATTTCTGTAGAAAGAATTAATTAGTCTAAAAATGGGGGAAAGGGAGAAAAACAAAATATTTTATATTTCTCAGTACCATCATATTCTAAAACTCACATACCTATTATAATTATATTTAATTATAAAAATAAAGTATGTTGAAGGAATTTTAAAAATAAAATTCAATAGGATAAAATGTATTTAAACTAGTAATTTAGTATTTTAATGAAGTACAAAAAAAGTACACAACTTCAACTATTTATACTTCATAACACTTAAACGCTAGGAATATATTATGAATACACCCAGATTATAAAGATAATTACTTTTTTGTCATTTATCTCCATTGTACTTTTGGCTGAATATTTATCTATCTAGTTTAAGATTTCTGTTAATGACAACTAACAATTTAAAAAATTTAAATAAAATATATATTTACATACAATATATATTTAAAAAAAATGTAATTGGTAATAATAATACATAAAAAAAAAAATAATCTAGCATGAAAAGAATGTATAATTTTTTATTCATTAATAAAAATTAATTCAATCAAGTATGTACACTATGCAAATCAAAATAATAATTTAAAAATACTGTTAATATAAATAAACATAAATTGAGTTCTAGAGAACTTATATAAACCAACATATTTATCAATTATTTAATCAATATTTCCTGTTGTAACACTTTTCATGTTAAGTACAATAATAATTTACATATGAAAAATGAAAAAAAAATTGTTTTAATTATATTATTGTAATTCATACTACTAAATCAGTTGATAATATTAAATATTGCAAATTATACAAAAACTAGTTTTTAAAATTAACAAATAAACTTGAAGGTTTTTATTAATAACTTACGTGTGTTATAGTATAGTATTGGACACTGTTTTATTAAAACATTGATTCGATTAAATATCATTGTTTGCAAGGCAATAAATTAATTTATACAATTACAAAAACTATAAAAATTTTATATTCAATCAACATCATTCAAAATAGATATGAATAAATTCAGTAATGTTAATTATTAATTGTATAAGATTATACTAATTCATCAAATTAAGGAAAATAATACGAATAACAATTTGTAATGCCTATGAAATTAATAAAAATTAAAATCAAAGGATCAATTTCAGGGAAAAAAGTTCAAAATGCAGTTAAATTTGATAATATTAATATCAATTTAATATCACAAATAAACAAAAAAATTCTGTGGAGGGATGACACATTGGTTCCCAACATACATGTCGCTGACGAGTACCTACAACCTACTACCGCACGCAATCAACTGTAATGGCCGCGCCCGCCTTTTCGTCATCGTGTAACGAATTTTTATCTAATTTCCAATATGTTGATAACATGTTTGGTGTTTAGATTGTTTACATTTTTAACACCACGAAAACATTCATGTCTATTCGATATCGAATAATTTATTATTTTTGACTATTTGAATAGTTATAAAGTTATAACCACGGTCTTTAAAGATACTTAATACCTAAAAATATTATATCTCAAGGTCACTATTTAGGAATAGTGCTGAAAATGGATTCTGATGTCGACTCTGAACTAAAATCAGACTTTACATTGTATTTAGAACATATATCCCAAAAAAAAGTATGTAGATTAATTCATAAATATATTTATTTTAAATTTATGTGTTATTTATGATGATTATTGTTGAAAATTACAGAAATTCCAACGAAATACAACATTGAGCGAACATAGCTATTCATCAATTGAATATCAACAAGACACTTTGTGTTCTTCAATTAAAACATTATTTATTCACAGATCCATTCAAAAGTAAGCTGCAATTTCACTAATCAACATCATATTATGATTTAATTATATATTATATATTTTTAGTGATCAGAATACTGATGAAGTCGACATAGAAACTGTGGACAAAGATGTAAAATTATTAACATACAGACCTGAAATTGAAACTAAATCAATGGAATTATATAGAAATTGCAAATCGCCTAGAGATCCAGAAACATGGGAAGATAATATTAACAAGTATGTTTGCAATTTTTATTTATTAATTTCTTTATAAATTTGTAACCATGATAATATAAACCTGCTCAATTGAATGTCGATCAAAATTTAATACATTTCAATCATATACTAGTAAATTATCTTATATGGCTTAATATATTTAGTATATGTTTAGTCTTAGAAATACTGTTAATAACTAGTCAATGTCTGTTATGGTCTAGTCGATAAACTCTAGCATATTAACTATTATTTTTAACCAATGTATCATTTTGTAATTAGCAAAAGTTTACAACTGATATCATAAGTTAATTTGGATTATAGAAACAATGGGGCCATTGTATTTAAATAATTAAGTTTTATGTTACAATAGTGATATATATATGCATAAGTAAAATATGCTACATATAGTACCAAACTATAATTATATCTAGAAATATTACAATTAATAGTATTGGCTTTCTTTATATTTTATTATACTTAAGAGGAAAAAAACTAAACCGAAGTCAAGAATATTCCTTCTGATGTAAGTTAGTATTATTTGCATAATTAATCATCAATAGCTGGGCAATCATAACTTCACAATCAGTCATTGTCTTACTTTCCCACAAAAACATAAAATTTAATATTTACAAGATATGTCTATATTTGTACAGATATTCATAATTTGTATGTAATTAATAAGTTCTGTCCTACTGTGTTTCTGGATGTCTCACAGGCTTTTGACCGGGTCTGGCATGAGGGGCTACTCTACAAACTAAAGAAGTTTCTCCCAGCACCTTATTTCTTATTAATAAAATCCTACCTATCTGATCGCTCCTTTAAGGTTCATCTAAAAAATAGCTATTCAACCAGCCATTGCATTAGCGCAGGCGTCCCCCAAGGTAGTGATATCGCTCCCTTTCTATATTCTGTGTTTACTCACGACATCCCCAAAACACCCTTCACTTTTCTTGGATCATATGCCGATGACACACTAATTTCAGCATCACACCAGGATTCCGCAACCGCTTGTCGGATGATCCAAAGTCACCTTAACATGATAAATCTATGGACTAAACGGTGGAAAATAAAAATAAATGAAACAAAGTCTACTCGTGTAACTTTTACATTGTGCAAATTTGTTTGCCCTCTTGTCACATTTAACAACCTAGTAATTCCTTCGTCAGACGAAGTAAAATACCTAGGGCTAATATTCGACAAACGCCTCAACTGGAGCTCGCATATTAAACAAAAATGTAAATCAGTGAACTCCAAACTTCATCTTTTGAGACCCCTATTAAAATCAAAACTTTCCAACAAACTTACGATATACAAATCGATAATCCATCCAGCTTGGCTTTATGGCATCCAACTATGGGGGCCAGCAAAACCATCAAACACCAAAACCCTCCAAGCATTCCAATCCATATGTCTACGCCTAATAACCTCTGCCCCTTGATATGTTACCAATAAAAACCTCCATAAAGATCTGAACATGCCAACCCTTAACGACCTAGCCAAATCCTATTATTCAAAATTCCATTCAACGCTCCGCGCTCATTCAAACCCCATCATTAAAAGTTTATCCTCTACCTCTATCATTCCTAGAAGATTAAAAAGGCAATGGCCAAGAGATCTCCTCAACATCTAACTACAATAAAAAAAAAAAAAAAAAACATTAATTAAACAAATTTAAACCCTAATTTCTGGTCAGGTGGCACTGCTGGGAGCCTTCCTTCTCTTGTTATTTTTTCTTTTATACATTACTTATCTACTGTCACCACACTTACTCATTATACACTTATGTATAGATTGTAAATATACTTTATTTTTAATAAAAAAAAAAAAAATTAATAAGTTAATATATATCATTTCAATAATGTAATCATACAAGTTACAATATTGAATATACTAATATTAAATCTAATATGAAAGTATCCACTACATTCACACATCCTGAATAAATTTGGACCCTTTACTTATACATATTAAAATTTTTAGATTTTAGATTTTTAATATTGTTTATCAATTGCATTTTATAAAGTTATATAATTGAATTATTAGTATCATTATTATTTAAATTTATAGTACAATTTAAATTAAGTGTTCCAAAAAACCTGCACTCATGTTACTCTATTACCCAAAATCATTGTGATCAGTAATTGTGACCAATAACCATAATTTCCAAGGTTTAAATCAATAATTAAAGAAAAAAAAATATTACTTAAAAACTATTAATATTTTTTATAATTATAGAATATAAAATAAAAATATTTTTAAAGTTAATTTTTTTCATACATTTTTAAATTCTTAGCTGTAATACTAATAATTATTTTTTATTTCCAGACTTCGATGGAATAAACTAGAAAGAACTTTGTTTGAGAGAGCTATGTCTATATTATATGCAAATCGTTTGTCAAGATTAACATATGAAGGTACAGTGCAAGAGGATGTTCAAAAAATAATTAGTACAGAAAAATCTGTGGCGGAAATGCATCATTTATTAACTAACTATACTCATTGGGATATATCATTATCACAATGGTTACATGGACTTTTTATTTCACACTTACCAGATGACTATCTCGCTTCCTACATAGATATTTTAGAAGTAAAAAAAGATTATTTAATTATTTTAGATTTTTTTTTTATTAATTAATAACTTTTGTATGGAAAGAAATTGAAACTAATTGCTCCATCATTCATAAATGACATGATATCGGTCAATGGGCGTACTAAAGATGAAATAAAATGCAAATCAATCAGTCTAGATGAACCTGTTGATCCATTTAATTATATGTTGGTAACTTACCCACCTGTAAGTTTATAACATATTAAGCGGCAATCATTTAAACTCTGTTAATTAAGAATCCAAAAATAATTATAAAATAATTGATATGTTTAGCTTAAATTACCCAAAAATCCTGTAATAATATTAGTACCAGACTTTCCTGGATATTGTACACAACCAAACACAAGAACTCATGATTGGATGAATGCCTTGTCATACTTAGCAGAATTGGACGTTGCTTTAGCAGCAAAAGGTAAAAAATAAGTTTTTATTATTTTTAAAAACTTAATATAAATAATTTAATCTTAAACTCAATGCTTTACTATTTTATTTTAGTACCTTGGGATTATGAGGAGTATTCTCGAGAACAAGAATTAGATATAGCTACTAGTTTAGATGCTATGGTAGATGCTACACGAAGTAAAATTGTGTCAGTAAGATCTGATGATCCAAGCAGACCTGTTATTCTTGCTGGTATTGGTGTCAGTGCCGCAATTGCTTGTCAAGTACATATATTTATATTTCTCAAAATTCTTAATAAAATAATTGTATCAAAAGTGTATTGTATATTTTTATTTTTGATGATTTTGTAATTTTTTATACTGAAATCTGTACTTTCATTTTATATTAATTTTCAACTTGAAACAAAATGTTAATGACATGTACTAAAATGTTCTTAATAGGTAGCTGTTCTTGAAAAAGTTGATGGATTAGTGTGTATTGGCTTCATTGTTAATTCATCTGAAGTAAAAAGAGGTTATGAAGGTGATTGCATATTAGGTCTTGAATGTCCTACAGTTTTTGTAACTGGCCAGTTAAGCATATTTTCACCGTATGTATTTACTTAATTTTATATAAAAAAAATAAAAATTAATATCAAATATTTAAATTAGAGTCTTAGATATGGAAGAATTAAGAGTAAAGCTGAAATGTAAAACTAGTCATATACTTGTTGGTGGAGCAAATGATGAACTAGTGGTAAACCATTCTACTAAAATGAGAGAAGCAGTTACCCAAAAGATAGTTGACCGATGTGTTTTGGTAAGTGAATATAATTTTATTAATAATAATTTTATTAAAATTATATGTAGGATTAAATTTTATACTTTTTATTAACAGGAAGAAATTGGAAATTTCTTAAAAGAAATGTTGGAACCCTCACCAAAAATTACTCGAAAACCTGATGTTGAAAATACTGATTTTAAAAAACCTGTGTTCGCCAAAAAGAAACCATTTAGTAAGATATTAAATTTATTTATTATTTAATTTTTTTTTTTTTTAATTAAATTATTTAAAATAAACTTTTGGTGAATAATTTAACCATTAGTGTCTGAATTTTTTTTTTAAATAATTTTTAATAAATTTTTGTTGACAACTTCTATAACTACACTCATATTAAAATATAATTTTTTTTTTTAAAACAAAGTTTTTGAGATATTTGCTGTGTCCATATGGCAATACTGGACACTTATAACTTATAACAATAATATATTAGAAAAAAAATTATAAATAGAGTCTATAAACATTACCATATGTTAACACTAGGCACTAATGGGTTAAAAACTGTTTATCGTCACTATTGGTATAATAAAAAAGTTATTTAATATTTATAATGAAATAAAAATTACCATAGTTGCAATTCAAATTTGAACATAATTGATCAATTTGATATTTAAATACAAAAATGCTTTTAAATTATTTACTGGCTAGAATTAGTTATAAATAATATAAACTTAAAGATATTATGATTTTGAAAATTACTGCATAGCAATAAAATTCTTATATTTTACCTATACATTTTGATTGAAAAAATTATAAATAGAACTTATGTTTAAATGTATACATAATTCTTATGAACTATTTTATTTTTATAGACAAATTGTTAGCTCGCCTCAACAAAGGAAACCAAAAATTTACACCTGTCAATAACCAATCTCCAAAACGACAATTAACTAATCGTAAAACTATTAACATACCATGTACATCTCTAACATCAACAATGGTTGATTTAGCAAAAGATGAAGAACTAATGCCTCCACCTTCTAGTGCTCTTAATCAAGAATTTGTTATACAGTGTGACAATTCAGACTCAATTGTAAATAATTCTCGTAAGTATTTTAGAAGACACGATCATCTACCAAAATGTTGCTTTCATTACTTTCCACATTACAATAATATTGTACAAATATTTAAATATTTTTGTATTATTGATATGTGTTGAACCCAAAGAAAATATTGAAAATGTGTAACTGAAGGTTGATCTTTCTAATAAATTTTTATTTTATTATATATGTATATATAGAACTAGACAAAATGTCTATACCAAAATTAGGAGATCAAAAGTTTTCACCTTTAGCAGAATTTTTACAAGAACAAGATAACTATAATATCAATGTTTCCCAAACAAGTATGTTACTAAATATTTTATTTTTCTCTATTATATTATAGCCATAATTTTATCAGGTTCACCATTAATATTCACTGAAAACTCAAATAATCTTGTGTGCAATTCAAATTTCCATTCGCAACAAAATGAAAAAACTGCTCCTGTCATGGGAGAAATTACAGCTGATCAAATATTAGACATGCCAATAGTATTTGCTGATGAGCCATCACAAGAAGAAGTAAAGCAAGTTAATGATGATAACAGTTCCTATTTTATGTCGGCTTCAAACCAACAGAATATTGTTGTTAAAGAAGAACCTGTTGATGAAGATGATGTTTTAAGTCCTACTATGACTAGAACCACAATTCCTGAACGTCTGAAAATTAAACAGGTGTGTAGGAATGTTCATTATATAAAAGTGAATAGCTTTAAGTTTAAATAAGTAAACACTATATTTTTTTTATTTTTCAATTGAACAGGTTGCATATGATTCACCTTCTAAAGTCAAGCTTGTTGTTAATAAAGCACCAAAAAGTCTTGTACCAAGTGGTTACCAAACATTTTCCGTGCCCAGTCAAAATACTGGAAATATTCAATTTGTCAGTAGATTAGCCATGCCACCTAATAAAATGAGAAGGATTGAAGGAGGAATAAGTCATAGGGTTGCTCCAAAAACAGTTTCAATTCGCCAATTACAAGAAAATAACTTCAAATTACTCAAAAGTTCACCTGGACAGCAAATACAATTGAATAAAATTAAAACTATGGCAACCACTCAAAAGTTTAAAAAAATTTTATAATACCGACATTGTAGATATATAAAATGTATAAACACACACAAAACCTCCACATGTTTATGAAACAATTTTAATTAGTTGATAAAAAGTATATATTATGTATAATTTATTTTTATATTAATTATACATGAATTTATTATATTAATTTATATAATTGTATTAATCCATTTTGTTTTGTTTTTTTTTTTTTGGCTTGAAAGTCGCTGTAACTTTTTTCAAGCTCAATGGAATTCTGTTTGTACGCTTCCCTAATCTGACCATTTGTACTTTTGTCCACACAAAAAAGGGTTTCCTCAATGATTTGATTACGTGATTGATGCTTATTCTCCACCAACGGTTGGCCATTGAAGTCTTATCATATGCTTTGCTAAACCGTGGACACCATATTGTTTTACTTGTACATCGTTGTACAAACGTATGCGTAGGAATCAGAACGTGCATTTGCTCAAATTTTAATTTCACTCTAAAATATTTAATTTGATCAATTACTTTTAGAAAATTTTTATGTACATGCTTATTTTAAGTTTTTTTTTTTACCTGGGTTCATCGCTGTTTGTCAAAGACAATATAATAGGACTAGGAATTTTTGGTTTACGCCCTTTAACTGGTTTACCAAACAATCCTCTTTGTTCAGCCATTCGTATTAAGTGATTTGCATCGAAAGTCATTAATTCCTTGAATTAAAACAATGAAGCAATAATCAATAATAACAAACTATTAAAAAAATCCAGATACAATACCACTCTTTTTACGGCAGCTAAGTAAAGGCTTCCAGTCACGTGATTCTTTTCCATGTTCTCGATCGTCTTATCCGGATATAATATCATAGTTTCAAATCGATCCTTGTCAGGAATCTGAAACACAAACGAAATAATTATTATTCAAAAACACTCAGACACGTGATGTAAGTTACTAATCATATTTTGAACACTAGTCATTATAATTAATTTTATATTTGGTGTGCGTAACAAATTTCTAGACATGAAAATTGTTATCAATCTGGCTCATATAGTAGTTGTAGGACTATTAGCCAGTTTCGTTTAGAAATGAACAATGGATAACTAGTATCAAACAATATTTATATTAATTTAACATGTAAATTATTTATTTTTAACCCGTTGATTAAGTAACCATAGAACGAAAAAACTGCATTAAGTTGAAATTATAATGTTAATGTATTAATAACACCAGAAAAGTAAAGTTTAATATTCACAATAAATATGTCTTATTAGGTATTCGTCCAATAATTTTACTGTCAGTAGCTCATTTTTATTAACATCATTTCCCGGTCAATAGGTACTTGGTATCCGTTTTTTAATAAAAAGTTATCTCATTACTTAGAATATCTCTATTCTTTATTTATAATATATATTTATGTTAAGTCTCATTAAAACGTCTATATGACTATGTATACAACAATTTAGTAGTATAACAGATAAAATAAAAAACCATTTTATAATATAATTTATGTTAGTGCAGTAACTAAGTACTTAATATTTTATGATGTACAGACCTCGATCGGTTGAAAAACGGTGGGTCGCCAGGGCGTCTCCACTGACGTACTAAACTTATCGTCGGCGCTGATCGATGAATAATTTTCCATATTATGTTTCTCATATGCCCAGCCGTTCATTTCCTCGACCACTGCCTTTACCATGCCACCATTCTCCAATTCCAGCCGAGAATGCGTTTCATACACTACGATTTGCACCTGTAGTCAGTGCCGTCGTTATCGGAAGGCAGCTTATCCTATCCGCTCCTAACCCAAGGCCGTATTTAGAAATGTTTTTCGGGAGGTGTCCAAAACATGTATATTGTAATTTATTGAATTTAGATAGATTTTAATTTTTGATATTTGGTTGAAAATAAGACAAAAAAAAAATTAATCTTCTTTTATTAAAATTAATATATTTTCATATGATATTATGATATAAAATTAAAAGCAGTCAAGGATTAATTGGAGCTTAAGTCATTTTTAACTGAAAATATTTATGTTGGTATTAAAAATAAATAGTAAATAAAAAATAAATAATTCATCAAGTTAGAATAATTAGATATGTTTAAGTGTATGAAAATTGTAGTGATTTTGTCAGGGCCTCGCAAAAGCTTGTGAAGGTATTTTCTGCTAGGCACAAGAGAATATATGATTAGTTCAATATAAAAATTACAAGTTATGTATTCTCAATGGTGGCTCTATAGATGGATCATATAGTTCATAATGGATCACGGTTTATTCTAAAAAAATTGTTCTGATTTCACTTACCCTACGATTATGCTATAATATTTTTACTCAGAATCACATTAACATCATAAATATACCTATGAGTATAAATCCAAATCATTGCATTAGATTAGGTTGGTTCTAAAAACTAACGACTTTTATCCACCTTACAGTCTGCTTGTTTACCAATGAATGAGATTAACGACAAACATTAGTTAGAGTGATTATAATTTATATAACGGTTTCTATTTTCGAAAATGTGATGAAAGTAAATTAATAGTCAATATTGTAGTTCAGTGTTTCTCCACCTTTTTACTAGGACGATCCCCTAAATATATTTGTTTTTATATACTCCAGGTGCAGATCTTTGGGGAGGGGTAATGTGGTGATTGATTTTTTACAGATTTATTTAATATTTTTCATATATTATTGTAAATATAGAAGAAATCATTAATAGGTTTGCAAATGAAAAAAAAAAAAGAAATGTTAAATTATTATTGTAATTAATATTTTCGAATAGTAAATTTTTATAGGTACTTAAATAAAGATACTTAGTTAATTATTTATATTAAGCGTTGTACTTATTTTTCAATAAATTGGTTAAATAACGGTCAATTATTCATTGTAATCTATATATCACTCATAAATATTCCTATTCGCCCCCCTAAACTAGGCTTCAGATTCGTCCCTGATATACTCGCATAAATTATTATTAATAATTAATACTATAAGTACTGTATATAGCACATTGTGTACCTAAAATACATAAAATAAATATTTTATTAAAATTTATTTTTTTTAATTAAAAAAACTTATACCAAATATTTTATTCTATAAATATATTTGTAAATTAAGGTTCTTAATGGCTTAATTGTTGCTGTTGATATAAAATTATTTCCTCAATTCTTAGTGTAATTCACTTTGTTAAACTAATTCTCATAGCTGATGAAATAGTCCAGTTAATTTCTAGTTTTATTTTTTATTGTAGTCATTGTGGGAAATCCATTTTTACACAAATATGTTATTGAAAATGTAATGAGTACTTTTAATGCTTCTTTGGCCAATCTATTAAATTCATTTTGAAACCTCTATCCAAAATTGACCTATATTTTTGTTGCTTTTAAAAATCTCGTATAACCCCACATCTGAACTCAATTCAATCTGTTTCTTTTCATTTGTTAATGATAATATATTTTGATCAGATTGTATGAATGGATTTATTACCTAGTTATAATTTTTACGAATGTCTTTTTTGGGGTAAAAATATTTTGAACATTTTTTTCTTAATTTACATAAATGTTTTTCAATTATAATACACATTTCATTAATTTCATTTTTTGACTATACATTTTTCTGAGTCATGTTAAAATAATTCGAAAACATATCAAATGTATAGTTTTTTACTCAATTTATCCATCGTCCAATCTTTTTTTGGAAATGCATCAATTTTTTATACGATAAAAAATATATTTATAATAATATATACTAGTATTATGTAATATAGTAATATTTATTGGTTTTATTTTCTCATTACTTTATTTTTCTTGATTGTGTTTATCGATAGCTTATAATAATATATTTTTTTCCAAAATACCCAAAAAGAGAACATCATGACATATATAATTACCACATTATTTTTCATTACTATTTTGTTAAACAAGATGTGCAAGTTACACCTGAGGTTTAGACATGGCCATCCTAAGAGTGTCTCTCTGGTCCAACATGCAAGGTATATTTGACGATTCCTCTGTATAGTCCAACGATGCCACAGCCCTGAGTAACGTCAAGTCTCCGCCTTTCGAGCACACCAGCTGTACAGGGTCCGTGACCTGTATTAACACCACAACTACCATACATATTACAATTATAACAAATGGGTATGTCGATGAATTTAAAGTAACGTACAAATTCGATAGTCCAGATAAAACAAATGCAAACATCGAATATGTATAACTAAATACGTGCATGGCCACGAAAGTACGTAAAAATCCTCAATATAATAATAAATATTGATCTCACCCCAGTATTGGTGTTGGGTGGTGTAGCCAGTATAGATACGATGTCGAGCGATAGCTGATTGTTGGAGCTTAATTGAAGAAAATCGTCAGCGATTAATTTGCAATTCTGCACGCCCAAATTCACGAAATAGTTGTAATAATCACTTTTCCTTTTTTACAATTGAAACAGAATCATCGTTAATATTCTGATTTGATATACGATGGTATGAGTGTTTATGTATTATTAATAACTCCCTAATATTTACAATAATAATATTTACAAATATTTACTACAATAGTATTTGTATTGTATAAGAAGGATCGATGGGAATATTTAGTATTACATTTTTAAATAACCCTATTCTGGGTAAATTATATTTGTTATATTATTATAAATACTCTAACATGATAACAATGAAAATATTATTTAATGGTTAGAGCGTGTTGATTTTGATAATAACGCAAGCAAAATATACTTATACCTTTCAGCAGCCCCATAAACAATAAGAGATTGCTTCCGTTTAAACAACAGAGACGCCAAGTAAGCCACAGCTGTTTGGATCGTGAAGTGCGTCTGAGCCACGTTACCGCATAGCTTGTTGGCGCTCATTGTCCGATCCAACATCGCAGGACCCAAACAATACCTCCGTTCCTACAACAAAAATCATCGACTACGGATTTTTAAATCATTTCAAATGCAGACTATTAATAAAAACCTTTTTTGCTTTTGCGAGGTGCAACATTTTTAAAAGTTAATATTTTTAAAGAGATAATAGTACAACATTTAACGATAAATAATTTTAAAAATGTCGATCATTATAAATATGATATCACGCTGAAATATTCATCGTCCAGACAGAACACAAGCGAATTAATTTTTTTCAAAGTTTTAAATAAATGGTAAATCATCGGTTACAATTCTTCAGTTTTAGGTTTATAAAGTGTATCTCTAAACTAAGTTTCATCAACAATAGCAATCGTACTTATACCTGTAGTATGCAGGCCCATATTTAAAAATTTGGCATCCCCGATCATATAATTTATGCCTCCACCAAAAAAAAAAAAAAATAAATAATAATAATATAACACTTATTATTTCGTCCGTAATCGAGATTTTTTAATATTAAAATATAACTTATACCTAAATGTAAATCGCTTAATACTTTTTTTAATTAACAAATTAAACATAATAAAACATACAATTTTCTTTTTTTTAACTAAAAAATTATAATATAATAAAAATACAATTTTTTTTTTTTTTAATTTACAAATTATAACATAATATAACATACTATTTCATTTTTTTTTTTTCATTAAGTACATCATTTTTAAAATTAATTTTGCTAAAATATTTTGACGCCCCCGAACATTTGCCTACCCGTGTCCCCTTAAATACGGGCCTGGTAGTATGAATATCGAACTTTTATGCTGTAGATAAATTTAAAACATGGTCGTTTACTGATAATATTTAAGTTTCGAAGTTCTGAATGTGATGACAATTAGTAATACCGAACCATTTCGAATACGATTGAAGTTGATAATTTATCAACTCTAAATAGCCTACTTTCAATGTTTTTCTGGAGTTGTTTTCATTTGCATATGATCATAAATCCCTTTGACAACGAACACATTACCTTTGGAGTGGTATTTTTATTAAATCGTGTTTCTTTAGCATGAAGATTTTCATAAGTTTCAACAATTTCCCCAAATTCAGAATCATAGTTAACATGGTTTTTAGCATATTTTAAAATATTTAAATTAATTAAATTAGTGATTTTTATCTTACAATTTTATATAATTTAAAGTGTTAAAATTGGTTGCCGTCATTATTGGATATTTTACATCATACATAAAACATTTCGTATATTCGTACACGAACCGTCAGTCGGTTGTGAAATGCATGATTATTCATTAGTTGATATTAATTATTATGCTTTTACATATACGTTACGCATGAATCAAAAGTGGTTAGATACTATTTTATAAATTCTGAAAGCAACAACAATCAATTAGACATTTTATTGCCATAATATTGTAGCTATCACAATAATTTAAAACACCATACTTTAATTAAATATGCACTACATGGTTAGACTGTCCACGTTTATAAAATATATAAAGTTCAAGTTAATTTTCGTTAATTTCTTTATTAATTTTTTTATTTCGATATAAGAAATGGTAGACAAAGGAGTTTTAAGACAGTTGACGGCCGTGATAGCAGGTAAGGATATTCATAACATTTTTATCGATTTGTAATTAATTTAAGTGGCAATAATTATGGTCGAGCAAATTAGTTTTATTAAAACTTAGCTACTATACTAAAAACTGATTACAGAGAAGATAAATTACATATTATGTATATCTAATTTGTTCTCGCTTTGTTTAAAATATAAAATTAATAAGTTAAATTATAAATCAAATTTCCATTCAAGCAATAATTTATAGATAAATATAGTATAAACAAAATATAATTTCTGATCAAAATTTAATACCATTACCAATTATGAATGTCAATTATGAACTTATTTTTATTGATCTTTTGTTAAATAAAATTAAAGATAGTTGTAACTAGAATAGCTTAAATATAAATTTGTCATTTTGATAAGGTATTCATACAAATAAACTGTAAAATTATTTACTTCCAGAAGTATTTATTTTTAAAATTATTTGTAGAATTTACTACTTCAGTATATCTTTGGTTACGAATAATAGTTCACAGATAACTGGACACTTAGTTCTGTAACTAGTCATTGCCTTGTGAGTTGTGATAATATATAAGTAACTATTACGAAGAAATTAATGAATTATACAATAATAAAAAATTAAATAAAAATTAAAAATTAGTAAGTGGTTAGTACTCGTAAGTTAATTTATAAATAACTAGTTAATAAATTAAATAAATGAATAAATAAAAGCTTAGCCTAGAGCAGGGGTCTTCAAGCTTTTTATGTAGCGGGCCACGTATTATTTTTTAATAATTTTGCGGGCCACATTCATAGTAAAAACATGTATTTTATACAAATATTCAGTTTGATTGTTGAAATTTATATGATTACATTTTAAATTACAAATTTTTATTTTAATTCTGATAACTGACATTGTTTTTCACTAATTTAAAACATAGTTATTGGACCATTTTTCTTGAAAAACGCGATTTTCATCCGAGATTTTACGTTTTTTACTCACCCATAAACTACAATATAATACAAATATTATGTAGAAAATGTAAGGCCGGGCGCAAATTGAGACGCAGGCGACGCAGCGTAATTTTCTGTAATCTATTAGAACGTACTAGCGCATATTAGGAGGCAGGGCAGAGCAGTATCTATGTTGGCCTGCGTCACGTAGTGATCGCGACACAGATTACTGCACACGTGCCACACGCGTTTGGAATATTTTCCAGTTATGCCGGCCTAACATAATTTCCATCTTTTTGATTTTAATTCAATATTTTATTTATTATTTTAATTTTATTACGGAAGAGTTTGTGATTGAAGCCGTCCGACATTACATTGTCTTACATGACACTAGTCATATCAACTACATGAAGACAAAATTAAAAAATTATTTTTCTACAATTTTTTTTACGTGTATTTAATGTAAATAAATAAAAGTTCATGAAATTTATCCGTCAGAAACTGATTCAGAACTTGAATTGTATTAAATTTTCTGCTATAATTTCGTTCATGACTAAGTGGACGATGGCACAGAACTGCGTCGAAATATGCACTCACATAGATCACACAGTATTTCCTGCGCTACGTTGTGTCGCCTGCGTCTAAATGTACGCCCGACCTTATGCTCGTTCCACAATCGATTACGAACTAATAGACAACAGCCAAACATTTATGTCTAGGTAGGTAATTTAATTTAGCTTATCGCATATTTTCGATAGCGATGGCTTAACCGTTATCATTTTATCGAAGTAGAAAATATACATGCTTAATTTCAAATGAGATCGCGGGCCACATATTATGACAGGGCGGGCCGTGGATTGAAAATCCCTGGCCTAGAGTATAATATAATATAATATTATATTATAATAGTATTTGTAATTTTAAATGTATTAAAAAAATAATAATAATAAAACACAATTCACCAAATAATATTGTTTACTACCGTAGTATGAAATATCAAAATAATATATTTAACAAATTCAATACAATTCTAAACAATAATTATTAACAATGTAAAAATCAGTTTTATAACGAATAATAATTTAATCAAACATAAATAATAGAAATAAAACCTTCACAAAAATAACCCTTATTTTAAAAATACTTGCATATATAAACTAAAATGTAATTGTAATAAATAAATTAAAATATAGGTATGACAAAAAAAATATTTTAAAATAAAATATGAAGAACATATTTTTGGAATAAAATTAAAAAATACTGTCCCTTTTTCAAATGTTTAAAAAAAGCCATAATATTCATTTTGATATAATAGAGTTAGAAATATTAAATACCTAAAAGAACATTTACACTCATTCAGTTTTAGAAGAATTACACATACACTAGATAATAATCAAAGTATTTAAATTTTTTAACATATCTATAATTAAACATTAAGCTTTAAATAAGCTCTCCTATTAAAATAAATGGTATCTATGGAAAACAATCGATTTTTCTGATTGTATTCCTTTCTTTAAGTTTTCATACTCAGTCGCGATTTTATTAACTTTGTATATATCTAACGATGAATTTTTAATTCGAAACCTATACATTACAAATCTAATAATGCTCCAGGATAAGAATTTATTTATTAATATATTTCTATGTATAAACTATTTGTTTATTTATTTATACATATATAATAATATTAATTGGGTATAATCAGTGGATGTCACTATGAAAAAATTTATTTATTAATATATTTCTATGTATAAACTATTTGTTTATTTATTTATACATATATAATAATATTAATTGGGTATAATCAGTGGATGTCACTATGAATACGTAAGATAAAATAATTTAACCAAAAAAAAAAAAATAATAAAAAAATATATCTCTGTAATTCTCGAAATAGATTCCATGCATGTGTTTCATAGACAAGATCACACGAAACCACCGAGATGACCAACTATAATAATATTGATATCAACATAAACGGTCGACATGTTTCTGATGTTAACGTAACACAATTTAATATTATGGTTGTGTACAGGATCGATGTCCATAATGAACGTGGGCATCATACTGGGCTGGACGTCACCGATCATGGAAGAACTGCTGGGACCAAACAGCCCGATCCCAATGACCGTGGACGAGAGCTCGTGGTTCGCGTCCGTGTACAACTGGGGACTGATCCTTGGGTCGATTCCTTGCGGCATGATAGCCGACCGGTGGGGTCGGAGGCCGGTGCTGCTGATGATCGGGCCGGTGGCGTTGGCCACTTGGATGGCGCTCATTTTCATCGGAACGTTTCGGGGGCTGATCGCGGTGCGGCTGATGCAAGGGCTGCTGGCCGGCGGCGCGTACACCGTGGTGCCGTTGTACGTGGGCGAGATCGCAGGGCCGAAGATCCGCGGGGCGCTGGGCACCACGTTCCAAATCATGATGTACGTTGGCATACTGTTCGTGTACGTGGCCGGCATGTACCTGGACTACGGGCAGCTGACGTACGCGGCGATGGCGGGCCCGGTGCTGTTCTGCGCGTTCTTCCCTTTCGTACCGGAGTCGCCGCACTTCTATGTGATGAAGAACAGGTTGCGTGAGGCTAAGCGCACAATGCTCTGGCTACGCGGCGACGACTCGTCCGGCGGCCACGCGGTGACCGACGACGAGATGAACGCCGTGGTCGAGTGCATCTGCGAAGAGATGCGCGACGCGTCGTTCACCGACCTGTTCACCGATCTGGTGAGCCTCAAGGCGCTGATCGTCGTGCAGGGCCTGTCCGTGTTCCGGGTGATGGCCGGCGTGCCCGCGCTCATCGCGTACGCGTCCATCACGTTCGCGGAGGTGCACGTGGACGAGACAGCCAACCGGTTGTCGCTGGTGTTCGCGTGTTGGCTGCTGTTCTCGTCGCTGCCGGCCGCCGCGCTGTCCGACCGGGCCGGCCGCCGGCCGCTGATGATCGCGTCGAGCGCGTCGTGCTTCGCGCTGAACGCGATCATATGCGCGTACTTCTACGCGGACCGGCACACCGGGTACGACGTGACCACGTACGGATGGCTGTGCGTGACGGCCACAAGCGGGCTGTGCGTCGCGTTCAACCTGGGCTTCGGAACGCTCTACTCGACCATTAACTGCGAACTGTTCCCGTCCAACAGTCGGTCGCTAGCCAACGCGCTCAACACCATCACGCTCACGTTCACGTCGTTCGTGGTCCTCAAGGCTTATCCCGTGATCGCCATGGACGGCGGCATGTACCGCAACTATCTGATATCTTCGATGTTCTGCCTGTTCTCGACAGTTTTCTGTTGGCTGTGGTTGCCCGAGACCAAAGGCCAAACGTTCGCCGCCATACAGCAGCAACTCAGGGGTACTAACCGCGTGACGTGAACGAAACCAATTGTTTCGCCGTTCGTATCGAGTCGACCTGTACATCATTCGCTATCGTAACTAGAGACCTATATAGACTATATCCGATAAGATCGGTTGGTTTTATCTTAAGTACAATAAGTTTATAGTTATCTCTGCTTATTGTTACCGGATGGAATGGAGGAATACCTTTTTTTAACAACGTAAAACTTAACTATCTATTGCTTATTATTTGTTATTAATCTGAGCGTTAAAATACATCGTACTATTGAGTTAACCGTAATTAGCGACATAATAAAAATTGTAATTAATTTTTTTTTATATAATATGCAAAGTTAATAACCTAATATTGTTAAAATATTATATGCAAGGCAGTGGCGGACGCAGGGAGGAGTTTTGGGGGTTCAAACCCCCCCCCCAAATTGAATGGATGATTAATTTCAAACGTAGTTATCCTACCTAATGTACCTTAAAAAAAATGAATTGTTCAAAATACGATTAAAATATGCTAGAAAAAAAATAATTTGTTAAGAAAAGTGAATTTGTAATAATTTGTAATTTTCTAAACGTTCTAAAAGGTATTGGTACTTAAAACTCAAATTTTTGAAATTCCATGATGGCAATACTTCGTAAAAATAATGTATGTTTGTAAGTCGCTTATTATTAGTAAGTAAAAATAAGTAAATATACGTAATCGATATAATATTAATTACAATGGTACATTATGATTGACGGTTTCCCTAAATTTTGTGTTGTATGCTCATGTGATAACAATCGAAAATAGTCAACCTGTAGTCAATAGTAAATTATTTCAAAATAACGGTAATCAGGCCCGTATTTAGAGGAGGCAAGGGTAAGCACATATCCAAGGGCGTCAAGTCTCAGGGGCAGCAAAATATTTTAGCAAAATTAATTTTAAAAATTATGTACTTAATGAAAAAAAATAAAACAATAAAAAGAAGAAAATGTAAATTAAAAAAAATTGTATTTTTATTATATTATAATTTGTTAGTTATAAAAAAAGGAAATTATATGTTTTATTATATTATAATTTGTTTAATTTGTTAATTAAAAAAAGTATTAAACGATTTTCATTTATAAGTTATATTTTAACAATTTTAGAATCTCGATTATGGATAAAATAATAAGTATTATATTATTATTAATTTTTTTTTTGGGGGGGGGGCGCATAAATAATTTGCCCAGGGGCGCCAAATTTTTAAATACGGGCCTGACGGAAATTATTCTTATTTTTTCAAAGCCCCTCTACCGAAATTTTTTTCTGCGTCCACCCCTGGTACAAGGAGATTTCAGCAAAACTTAATGAGTTTAATCGTTTTTGTATTAATAATTTTTAATTTTTATTGTAAATTAAACAAAACAATATTTAACAAGAGTATAAATTATTGTAAAAATATGTCATTAAACCTTGAAAATTGTTTTTACTATTAATCCACATTATATTTTTAATAACAACCAATATAACCTGTTGAATTCTCAAAAAAACAAAAATGGTTCTCGAGAAAATTGCATTATATGCAGCGTTTACGGTTTAATCTTAAATGTTATTGTATGCCATGTGACATTTACAATAGTTACACACAATTAAAAGTTTTTTCATAATAATAATTGAATATTTGATTTCACTGCAATACTCAATATATAAACATTGCGTACTATTAATTCATATACCGCCTACCACTGATCTTGCATGACATGCAACGAGTGATCCAAAGACAACAACGGTATTAATACTGATTAAAAATTAGTTATTCCCACTCCTTACTAAATTTAGTAATATTTAAAATGAGCTATATATAAATATAAATCATAATACACACAAAATAGTTTGTCTTAAATGTCTATCGGTCACGAATATGATGGAAGTTATTATTTTTAATTATTGCTGTCCACATGTCACGTGTGCAGTAAAAAATTAATGAAGATAACCCTATATCTAAACCAAAAGTCTTAAAAATCACTTGTCTGCTGTTTAATACAGCACTAGTAAAACGATCTCGAACAAAAGAACCAACTTAATATAATACCTTATGTAAATATAGTTTTTGTAGATAAATATATTCAAGTGTAAGTCAATTTTAATTAGACAATAAATTTGCATTTTGGTTGTTCCTTTAAAGACAAAAAATGATAAACAAAGGTGTGTTAAGACAATTTTCAGCCGTCTTTGCTGGTAAGTAAATATAACACACAATATGTAATCAATTAATATTTAAAAAAATAAAAATCATGGTAAAATCACTATACTTGGATTAATTCAATTGATAATATGTAATGATGACTAGATTCATTTTTTTGATCTAAAGAAAATATTTTTTCGAAGCATTATTGATTTGTATTAACCAAAATAAAAAAATTTATAAAATAAATCAGTCTTTGAGTTATGGCTTAATGCGTAAAAACCAAAAATTTAAATTATTCAATTAAAAATAATTGTAGTATACCGTATAAAACACTAAATCGAGATTAATATTATAGTTAGGTAGTAAAAATACATTTGAAGACAAATAAATAAGTCTTTGAAATTTGAATAAAATTTATAGGGAAAATGAAATGAGTCATATACATATTTCGCTTTTATTAAATAAATATATGAAATGTAAATTTGAATAATCTATAAGAACGAAAAAACACTAAAAATTGCACAAATAACCTATAAAATTAAAAAATACATACTTAAATGAATAAAAAACCAGCTTTTAAAATTGTATTTATTGTACTATTAATTTGCCGTATATAAAACCTATAAACAGAAAAACTATAACGTGAATAAAAGTAAAATATTAACAGTAGATTTAATAATGATTTTATTAATAACTAAGACTATACTGTTATCATAAAGGAAATAAATCAAAACAATTTATACATACATATATTTTATATATTTTTTTTTATGAGGACATTAACTATAAACTGTGGTTTACGCAGATCCACCTGTCAGTTTCCATGATTCAGATATCATTTAGGTTCAGTCCTCATAAAAAAAAAAATCCAACTGCCTTAAATGTGAGGACCATGCTGGCCAATGAACAATGCTATAAGTACTAATCCGGTAGTTTGAAAACATTTGATCTATGTACCACATTGTCTAACAACAATTGCACTATTGTCTGGTGTGCTACGAGTATATCTTGTTGAAAAAACATATGCTGTCGGGTGTCTAATCAAACATCATTTAAAAGCATCGGTAGTTCGTTGGTTAGAAAAATTAAATATTGTCTTAATGGTAAACATAAAATAATTAATCCTATAAGCTTGCCGCCGATCAGTCTATACCATAAATTTATTCCTCAAACCATTTAAAAATTAGTTCCACTTGACCAATGATGGTTCGTTTTATCCCAGTGATTATCGATGATTTTGTTTGTTTATGCCATTGATGGTAAATTTTGTTTCATTAATCCAAAAAATGTTATTAAAATTTAAAAGGTTATTTTTGTGATCCATAGTAAAAAATCTAACCTACGAATAAAATCTCTTGTACGCAAATGTTGTACAAAATCCATTTTATATGAGTATATTTTGTGTTTTTTTTTTTAGAATGAGCCAAATAAAACACAACTTAGTGAGCAAAATATATTATTTATGAATTTGTTATAAATAATTAGTTAGTTGTTACTTATATTACTAAAATTTTACGTAATAAAAATTAAGTTCAATAATTTAGTTTTTTTTTGAAGAAAAAAATCGTTAAAAACCAATCATTCAATTTAATTCTAACATAAAATTTTAAATTACTCTCATTTGGTCGATTTTTAAAAAAGAAAAAACTCTTTATACAAAAATATTTTGAAGAAAAAAATCAATCCAAGTATATAGAAAATATTTGGGTCACCATTGGACAAAAAAAAGTTGTATTACACTTGCGTATACTGTAAAGGTTAAAAATTCGAAAATTATCAAAAAATATTTCAGTATCCCCTTAACTCTGCCAAGTATTTGTTTCAGTATAAGATCACACAGCCAGTGCTGGATTAAATATTTGTGGGCCCTTAGGCAATTAAAATTTTGGGCCCTATAAAATTATTTTTTACATACAACATACTATCTAATAATTAAAATAAACAGCTTTAATAATAACCGACTATTATTAATAAATAAAATCGTGTTTATTAAATTTTTTTATTCGCGAGAAAAATTAATTAATTATTATATTATTTCTATTTTTTTTCAAAATTATTTTATTATTATTACTGCATATAACACTTATAACTTAATATATATTATATTTCATAATGACTTTTGTCACGTAAATTCGTAAATAAAATACGGATATTATTAAATAAAAAAAATATAGTTTTCCGTTTTCACAGAGCCCCTTAAATAAGTGAGGCCCTAAGGTGGGCGTCTACTCCACCTTATGGGTAATCGGCACTGCACACAGCCGATATGTATAGTAATATCTGATATTGAGATTAAATTGTAATTACAAAAAAAAAATCAAATGATAATTACAAAAAGTCATTGAATATATAGGCTTCAATATTCAAATAACTGCCACTAACTCGTAACTACGCATTTCATACGATTAAAAAATATATCATGTAAACACATATAATTGCTATATTTAATTAAACAATTTAACATCTATTAAATATTGAAACATAACTCGTCAATACTGAATTTTTTATAGCTATTATATAGACATAATAAGAATAATATGCCACAAATAAACTAAAAAATAAAGTTAATTTTTAGAATAATTGTGAATCGAAATATTAGAAATAATATATATATATATGTGACCAGGGGCGTATTTAGACTTACTTCTAGTGAGGGGGGGGGGGGCGACTCAAATTTTTTCTTTAATTCAGGATCAAAATTGGTAAGTAAAATTTTTGATAATATTTAAATAAGGTGAATCCTTAATATTTGTGTTTTTTTTTTTAATCTAATGCCAGATCCACTTAGAATGAGCTTTTGTGTAGTTCTTTTTAACACCTACCTGTGTTTTGAAAGTTTCGCTTGTGTCTTATTTGATTTTTCACTAAGTATAGACCAGGGTTTAAATCAAAATATTATATATTGGTTACCGTTATGGGACATTTAAACGTTATAAGCAGTTGACCGTTTAACACTAAATATAATTTAATAAGCATTATTTAATTTAAGTCTTTAAATGTTATACAAATTTAAACGTTTAAAAATTTTCCGTTTACCGTTATTGACAATTAAAACGTTATGAACAATTAAGTATTTTTCATTATTTAAATTAGTGTAAAATTTGAAACGTTTTCAAATGTAGTACCTAGCAATCAATACTATGTAAAACAACACTACATATTTTAAATATATATATATATATATATATATATTACCTTTAACCAGTGGTGTATTGGTAAATATATTTGTGGATATATGCACTAAAAATATATATCGTTTTCTGTTATGTTATTCGATATTAATTTTAATCGTTTTTTGTTTCTGTTTCGTTATCTGTTATCGATTTCAATTACTTTTTGAATAGTTTAACGTTATACTTCTAACGTTATAAAAACGCTTTGATGTCCTGGTATGGACGATATAAAATGATCTACATTAAAAAAATTTTAAATGTTTATCTCACATTTGATCGATTCCTTAAATACGGATTCAGGGGGAGGGGTGATTTCCCCCTTCACCCCCTCCCCTTAAATACGCCCCTGTATGCGACCTGGAAACATGAAAGGGACCTCTGCTGTAAAAACAATTTTTTGAGATAAACGCGTTTAAAGATTGGCGGGTGTTGGCGAGGTGTGCTATTGGTGGGCATTTCTAGTTTTCACCACTTCGAAATACTTGTGGATGGTGGTACAAAAATGTATGCTTATGATAAAGATTTCAAAGAGTTCAAATTGGTGTTGTAACCAATCGATGATAATATGCCAGAGATGATTTTTCCACAAGGTCTCGATATAGAACGGCAGTGATATTTATATAACAATATTCGGGACTTAATCGTAAATAAAAATAAGGCAGATGATGTCGCTCCTTTGCCAAAAGAAAGAATATCGAAACCAACCAAAACCTCAATGCCGTTGAAATCAAAAAAAGAAAAGCTATCGAAATCAAAAAGAGAAAAAAAAACTACAGCATCATAACCATTGAAATCGAAAAAAAATAAAAAAAAACAGCGAAAACGTTAAGAAAAAGAACTAATATGACCAAAAATGAACTACAAACCAATAAAAAAAAAAAAAGAGCAATCAATAGCTTTGTAAGAATTTTTAAATAAATTTTATCCATTTGTTTTTCTTCTCTTATTACATTAATTTTTTAAAGTTTTTATCTACACTTTCGACGTAATTTCTACAAAAATTAAGAAAGATAGAAACTTACGCTTTAGTTTCATTTGAAAGAGCATTAAATTTCCTAAAAGAATCACTTGAAAAGTAAAAAACGGTTTTTTAGCTCTTTTATGATTCCAGGTCACATATATATTATAATTTAGATCTCTATTTTTCTCTAAATCCATGAACGAATATATACATCTATATCACCGTCAAATATGACATAATCTATTTTAGTTATTAATAATTTTTGTAATAGATTATAAGTTGACACCAATAATGAACGGAACTCCTACACACCTCAAACAATTTAATATTCCATTGTCAAAAATCCATGTTGAAATACATATGACTTATTACTTAGTAATGATTTTTTAAAAAAATGTATCGTTTAAATATTTTATCATACATTTTTGCTATATCAATATTAACTTTAATATTTCCTACTAGTTCATCTTCAACTGATAATGAAAAAAGATACTTAATCTATACGTTCTATCTAATGTACAGGTTCACTGTCCATAATGACCGTAGGAATCGTAGTCGGTTGGTCGTCGCCGATCATGGAAGAATTGCTAGGGCCGAACAGCCCGATCCCGATGACCGTGGAGGAAAGTTCGTGGTTCGCGTCATTGCACAACTGGGGGCTGATGCTGGGATCGATACCGTCTGGTATAATGGCCGACCGGTGGGGTCGAAGACCTGTTCTGCTGTTCTTCGGGCCAATCGCATTAACCACATGCGTGGCACTATTATTTATTAACACGTATGAAGGACTTTTAGCGGCGCGGCTAACATTGGGCCTGGTTTCCGGTAGTGCATACACGGTGGTGCCATTGTACGTGGGCGAGATCGCTGGCCCCGAAATCCGAGGGACATTGGGTGCCATATTCCAGATAATGTTAAACGTAGGCATACTGTTCGTGTACGTGGCCGGCATGTACCTGGACTACTGGCAGCTGACGTACGCGGCCATGACAGGCCCAATACTGTTCTGCGCGTTCTCCATCGCAATAACGGAGTCGCCTCATTTCTACGTGATGAAGAACAAGCTGCCCGAGGCGAAACGGACGTTGGCCTGGCTGCGCGGCGACGAAGATGGTGGCAAAAAAGTGGACGAGGAGATGGACGTCGTGGTCGAGTGCATATCCGAAGAAATGCGCGACGCTTCTTTCACCGACCTGTTCACCGATCGAGCAAACCTTCGATCGCTGATCATCCTGCAGGTGCTGTCCGTGTTCCGGGTAATGGCCGGCATCCTGGTGATCCAGTCGTACGCGTCAATCACGTTCGACGAGATGCACATAGACGTGCCAGCCAATAAACTGTCGCTGGTGTTCGCGTGCTCGTTGTTGTTCTCGTCCCTGCCGACCTTCTTTCTGTGCGACCGTGTGGGCCGCAGACCGCTGATGATCGCGTCGAGCGCGTTATGCTTCGTAACGAACATGATCACGTGCGCGTACTTCTACACAGACCGGCACACCGAGTACGATGTCACCGCATATGGATGGCTGTGCGCGGCCACCATAGGTATACAGTGTTTTGCGTTCAACCTGGGCTTCGGCGCGCTTTACTCGACCATCAACTGCGAGCTGTTTCCGTCCAACACCAGGTCGCTGGCCAACGCGCTCAACGCCATCACGCTCACGTTCACGTCGTTTTCGGCTCTCAAGCTGTACCCCGTAATCGCCATGGACGGCGGCATGTACCATAACTTTTTCATGTTTTCGATGTTCAGCTTGTGCTCAACAGTGTTCTGTTGGCTATGGCTGCCCGAGACCAAAGGCAAATCGTTCGCTGTCATACAGCAAGAGCTTAAGCTTAAGGAAACCACCAGTGCGATGTGAATGAAATCGAACGCTTTCGGCATCATCGTTCGTTATAAGTGTACAATTACTTATTTTTTATACTACCTAGAGACCTAAACACACGTTCAACAAAATCGATCGGGTTTACCGTTAATCAAGTATGGTACCAGGAATCCAAATGTAAGTGTTTGTAGAGAGTTAACTGTTATTAACTTTGTTATTGTTATTAATAAAATTGTAGAATTATTTTTATAATAATGATTATTCTTTAGTATTGTTTTAACTGTCATCAGACCATAACAGGCTTTTTATTATGTCTAATCTAACTTTAGCGTTTTGGACAATATAAATTTTTTTAATTTAAGCTTTTGACATTTAACATAGAATTGGCAAAATGCGTGCTGCAAATATCGTCAAAAATGATATAAAAAAATTGAATATCGTTTAAAACAGATATTTCGGTTGGAGTTATTTTATTGATAAAACAATTATATTTATATAAAATTAATACATCTATATATATCTAATATAAATGAATTAATTATACATTAATATATCTAATTAATATATTTATTAATATATCTACCATATGTAAGATAACTGAATTTCTTAGTGCACAACACGGTTAGTTCAGAGACATCACGCCAAATATTAAAAGTTCAATTTAATACGAAGTTTTAGTATGTTTAGATAAACTAACAAACACGTTACTAATATAACAAGTTATCAGGGCCGGCGAAAGCTATGGGCGCCCTGGGCGATTGCCCGGGGTGCCAGTACTAAAGGGGCGCCGAACTGATAATTGTTTTCATCTAATTTATCTTTTAATACGCATTAACGATCTACAGGAAGTAAGAATATAGCAGTTGTGCTTTCTACTTCATATAGATACTGCATCCATACAGCGGTGGTTTTGATGTAAAAATAATGCATGGAAAAATACCACCGCATTTGTCTGTGTAAATAAATAGATGGTAGTAATATTTATTTTCATAAAATATTTACCCGTTTACAAATAAATTCATATAACTAGACGATTACACAAAAAACGCATTTGGACCTTACGGCGAAAATACCGTGGTGTGTGGTGTTAATCAAAAAGATACAGTTGCCCGACACACACGCACAATTTATTGTTTTCGGCGAGCTCTCGCTATGTATGATCTGCTGTGTAATGTCAAATTTTTTTATTAACAAGTTACAGTTAACAGGTACCTCATCAATATTCATATTTTTTGTTTAGTTAATTTCTACATAATATTTTCGTCCCTTATTAGTTATTTACAATGAACTCTGTTCTCTGGTTGTCTTAATAAATGAGTTGTTAGTGAAACACAGTATTTCTATATTGTAGGCAGTGGCGGTGTGAAATAATATATTCCCCGAAAAAAATTTCAAAAAGTAAAAAACGCCAAGCTCAAAATTAGAACTATTATATTCTTGCAACGAAAAAACAAAAACCTGTCCAAAAAATGCGTTGATATAATACTAAGTTATTATACTAAATATGTATTATTTTAATTGAATTCAATAAAAAAGTTTATATTACTACTATTCAAACTAAGTGGGTTGAAGGAGGGGGGATCAAGGGCGCCAAAATATGGGTTTGCCCAAGGCGCCAATACTTCTAACGCTGGTCCTGCAAGTGATATTCATTATTTTAAAGAAATATACAATAGTTTTCTTTAATTTACAGTTGAATTTTTGTTTTTGAAATTGCCAGTAATTAGACGTAAAAATTGAAATCGTTGAACTCGCACTACTGCGAGTTAAAGATATACAAGAGTAAAAATGATAAATATATATATATATTTATGAATTCTATAGTAAAAATTATATTAATATTTTATGATTAGTTAGAAAATTATATAATAATTAAAAAAACTACGTATAATAATTTTGTACATAAACTTTAACTAAATAAAATGGAAAATATAAATATTTTAACATGATTTGATAAGCTAAATCAATTTTTTTTATAGAACCGTTGATAGGAAAGTTATACGAAATTACGCACAATTATATAAGAAGTAAAAACATATTATATACATTTGTTTGATGCACATGTGAATTTATAACTGTAGTAGAAAATCACAAATATATTATTTACCACAGGTATAACCAGTGTTGTGCACAGATAAACTTATAAATAATTTTTTTAGCTAGATAAAGATAAAGATAGTATACCAAAAATTTATCTAGATAAAGATAAAATAAGATCAACTAAAATTATCTTTATAAAAGATAATAAATAATCTTAATTCATCTAGTTAAAAAAGAAATACATTTAAAAAAAAAACGATTTTACATTACAATTTACATAAGCTTTAAATACTATCTGGATTAACATGTATATAATTTTTTTAATAGTTACCGGTTTTTGAAATGTGTCCCAATTTTATAAAAATAAATGCGATATAAAAGTAATTATTATAATCACTAATAAGGATATGTGACCACTGTCCGCTATCATAAATCAATGTTAAATATATATTACCTTATTACATTTGAATATACATGGGTTGAAGACAACAATACAGTTAATGTTTAATGGTCATAATTTCAACGTTTTATTTTTTTGAAGTACATTTTGTAGGAAAGAAAATATCCAGTGGTTTCACTGCTTAAATGAATGAAAAATATATATATAGCGTTCGGAATAAGATAATAATTTTATACTCAATAGTCAATTTAAGCAATGAAGAAAAATTGATAACATAACATAACTATAGAATTGTCTTGTTGTATAATATTCTTAGATCATATACTGTGGATGGAACCATACCCTATATTGCTTGAGTAAACAATTTTATGCACATATAAACGACGAGTCTCTCGTTAAGAGCGTTACCTACGCATGCGTGAGTATATTCATTGCATATTTATTTAATAAATACACGCGGTATTTAATATTAAAATAAAATAGAATATTGTTCTTTATTTTAATTATTTGTTATTCAAACGGATAATGTCTAATTTTAAGTATAGTAATAATGTATAACAAATACCAATTAGAATTAATAATACTATGAAACTTTAAAGAAAAAAATATACACATTATTTAATTCTCAGGGAGTATGCAATAATTAGATTATATATGCGACGAGTATATAACCCTAAGTATTTATGATAAAACTGTCGTAGTAACTGCGAATAACAAGAAATATTTGTTATACCATATCCATTAGTGATAGTAAGTAAATAATAAAATAAAACAACAAAAAATAATAACAATCAGTTAATATATCATGCCGTAGTGACAGCCAAGATATAAGAGGGAATAATAATAATTAAAATTACTTGTATACCTGTCGCAATGACAAGTGCGATAGAAACTGTACGCTCCGCCAACGACGAATCGACGAGAAAAGAAAACTGTCGAGCGGTTGGACACCCGGTGCAATGGCAGAGTAACTCCGACTATTGCCCCATGGGGTGGGATAAGTTAACGAGTGATGCAATGCCGGAATTACTCTCACTATTGCATCATTGCTCGATTTGGGAACCACTCGATTAGTTTCGAAGGAAAGACCTTCTTTCTTAGTCATGCAAGTCGCCTCGGGTAGGTTATACTCCGATTTCGGAAAAAAGGTTATTGGTAACTTTCGTTGAGTCACCGGGGCTTTTATATCAACTGGATCAGCGGTATCGATAAGTAAATTAAAATATTACATTTAAATAATTAGAATAGTATTAATTACTCGATCAGGTAATTGCAAATTTTATAACAAGAATATCATTTAATTATGATCCGCGTTTATTTACGGCAGTATCGATAAACGCAACATTGGTTAAGTAAAAAAAATATTTTTTATAACAATTGAACAATAGTTATATTTTAATAGTAATCTGCGTATATATAAACGCAAATTTATAATGAGAAAATTAATTATGAGAATATTTGGTGATTGTAATAATAGTCTGCATATTTATAAACACAAATTTATAATCATAAAGATATTTGAAGATATGATAATCATATTTTAATAATAACCTGTGTTTATAAAAATGCAAATATAATATAAAATTCGGCGTAGACAGCCTAGGACATTTATTGGTTTTTTATCATTTTAATTTAAAGGGTTACACTTACGAAAAATTGTTATACATCATTATTTGAAGAGAAATTGTTTCTCAGTTACACCAGTTACACATGTTTTAATAATAAAAAAAAATACAACAGTAATACCTATGAAGGGACTTATTAGCTATTTTTCAATATTTAATGATAAATCCGATGTTGATAATAATATCAATTCTAAAATATAAGGCGCAATTGATGAATTGCCATATTTATTTTTTATATAGATTAGAGAAAAAAAAGCTTTATTGCAAATATATGTTGATCTAAATTTGCTTGAATTCTGCAAGGCAAGATCACACGTTACAGAGATGTCTTCCTTTGGTACTAATTTCAAAAATAATTTTTATTTATTTATTTATTTTTTTTAACTGGCTCAAATATATACGTAAAAACAAAATAAATGAAAATGAATAAAGATGAACGCTTGAAATTACACAGCTGTACAACAACCAATAGTAGTAAATTAACAATTTAACAAATTCTTTTTTTTTTAACGTTTTATTTTTATTATACGTATATATATTGTTCAAATTGCCTACATAAAAACCCTTAAGAAATATGTTGTACCTCTTTTTTATTAACAATTGAGCATTTTGGATATTACAATTACATTTTAATGGTAATAAATAAGGCTGGGATTTCGATGCACTTTGCATTTTTTTTTTGAAACTTACTGTACGATGCTCGTTTTATTATAAATATGTTTTAGGTATTTTTAAATTAGAATAACAAATTTTATTTTGCATTTTTTTGCATTTTATGAAATTTTTTGATCTTAAGGTTATCTTTCTCATTTTTAGAGCATTTTAAGGGTTTTTAAGTCTTTTTGATGTTTTTCAATTTAAAATTATAGATTATAGATTTTTTCTACCGACGGATTAGTGTTGTTGTGTAAGGTATGCAATGTAAAAGTTGCTGTTGAAAAACATTTTACCATACAATAATATATATCAAGAGACAAACATATTAATGGAGTACAACGAAGAGAACATATTGAAGAACAAGAAAAAATATGTATATCTACAATAACTTATTGGGGAAAAACATGAGGCACGCTCTCGTGATTTATTGTAACAATAAAGAATATTTTTTATTTATTAATATATGAAGTAAAATAAAATATTTATGTACATGTAATGTAATTTTTTTAAATTTTAAAGGCATTTTTTAATTTTTTAATTTTTTAAGTCATTTTTGCATTTTTTTAAGGTCATTTTTCGCGATTTTTAAGGACATTAAAATCCCAGCCCTAGTAATATATAATATATTATTTTTTTAGTGATTCATTATTAAATGAATATATTTTAACTTTTTAGTACAATATTTTACTATTTTAATCATTTATACGTTATTGAACTTAATATGGTATGAAATGTTTATTTTTTGTTAAGTAAATACGTACTTTGAACTGTTAATATACTACAGAACTGATATAATATTTCTTTAGCCAATAATATTTCCCTTAAAAAGCCGACTTTAATAAAAAAAAAAAATAATTATTGAATTATAATTATACATAAAAAGTGAAAGTAAAACATTTTGTCTTACCTTATATTATTTTAATATTACAATAAACAAATTATACAATCAATGTATAATTTTAAATTTAACACTACATATTTTAATACTTTAAAAAAACATAAATTTACAAACATATATTGTGCCAAACAAACTACTACTTTTACATTCCAAGTAATGTGTATTAATATATAATCGTACAAAATAATTTTTTTATCTGAATATATTCCAAAGCTTCGGTAAAAGTCTTAGAATTCTACAATGGAAAAACCATAGTATTCTAGAAAATCGTCCAGATATTAGCATAAGGTAAGCTTTTATTATACTTTCAATGTTTTATGTACTTTAAAAATAACCAAATGTGATTCGATCTTTGGTAATAACTCAAATAAGTCTATTTTATAAAATTATCAAAATTTGAAGCAAATTTTTGGAGATCTTACACTACTAGCAAAATAAGAAAAATCGTAGTCATGCCAATATTATAATTTTGCTTTCCACTATGTAACGTTGGAATTATATAACCCGATATGTGAAAAACATGTAAAATTTAATAATTGTGTGAATAGAGTTGTGAATTATTGTCTATAAACAAATAGTGCTGGCCCCTAGCGGTCTCCGATATAAATTATTCGATGGCTACTACTGTGTTAAAGGTTTAGTTATCCCCTCTCTTGATATAAATTGGTTACAATCTTTTTTAAATATTATGCATAACCCATTCAACATCTTATTTATGCTATCGATCAGTTATTCTCATTATTACTTATAAGTTATTAAACATTTTACTTGGACATAAACACCACATACGCGTCAACAATTATTACAAAAAATATAATTTCATAAAAGCAACTAACTGTAATATTCAATTAGACAACATGCTCACGAGACCACAAGACCACCTCAATAATTTTAATCATGGACTCAATTTAATAATATAAAATTAATAGTTTATGTAAATATATTTGTTCGAATTTAAGTTAATATTTATTGGATTTTTGTTTTTGACTATAAAAACAAAAAAAACCAAATGTTAAATAAAGGAGTCTTGAGGCAATTTTTGGCTGTATTAGCAGGTAAGGAAATTTAAAAGAAATTGTTTTTTTTTAAATTATAGTCAGGAAATACTTTTAGTAGATTGATTCAATGGGAACTACGTAATGATGATGTCTGTTAATTTTCCAAAGATGATATATTTATCATATTAGTGACGCTCATCAAATTATAATGGGTAAAAATCAGAGTCTATTCAAAAATTATGTATTAAACTATAACTCAAATAACAAATAAAAACTGTGATTGTTTAACTTATTGAAATACGAATTCCTATTTGAATTATTAACTTTTTACTAATCATATAAGAGTACAGATAAACTTTTTCTACAAAAGGTTTAATTTGTAATTTTTACAGTTATTTATTTAATGAATAATTTTATTTTAATTTTTTCCGTGAAACCATTTTGTAAATTATGTCGGTCAGCAAAACAGGATAGACATAATATTATATTACTACGTATTGTACGCAGGCCCGGCTCAAAAGGTAGGAGACATAGGTCCACGCTTAGTGTGATATTAACATTATTATATCATAGATAATTTTTAAAAAATTATTAAAATTCATATAACCTACCTACTCATATCAAATAATGTATTGTAAAACATAAGACTAAATTGTATTGTTATATTTAAATTATTAGTGGTAAACTTGTCAAAAAATGCATTGATCTAATCAACTGTTAAGTTTATATAAATAAATATAATGAATTCAGAATAAAGTCTATTTTATTGCTTATGTAAAAAAAAAAAATATTTGATGTAGAATTTAAATGTAAGGGGCGGAAAAAGTCTGCCTTATAGTAATTAAACAATTAAGCCGTGCCTGATTATACGTATTGTACCTAAAAAAAATTAGTTACATATTTTTTTGACATACTTCCATAAAAATGTCTACTAAAAATGTATTGACTTTTTACTAATTGTGACTACCCGTTAAAAATTTGGATACAATACCTAAAGATATACTCATAATAATTGAACACAGTATATATGTTTCCTTTAGTATTAAAATGTTCCAGCACACTATTCTATTATGTGACTTTTTAACTGTTCGTAATTTTCTAATAAATTAAAAGGTTAAATATAGGTCAGGATAATACATTGATAATAATATTTTCAAGAGTTAACCTAGCATTTTATCATTATAAGTGTATAATAATATATAATATATTATATTACAGTTAAAGTGTTGAATCAGTTAGTTTATGAAATAACTAAAACGTATGTTATAGTATAAATTATATACATTAACCTTACGTGTAGGTAATGTTTATAATTTATACTTTAGTTATTTTATGTGAATTTATTCTTGCGGCTCACTTCGTCAATGTGTCAAATTGTACAATATATTTATATCACTAATTTACTTGTTCAAAATGAAAGTATAACATTGAGATCTGCGGTGTCTGCATAGACAAAGGATTTTTTTAGTGCATTTGTATCAACATTATGATACAAAGCGGTTTTTAGAAAAAAAGAGGAATTTTGCAATTCTAAATGCCACAATAGCCTTTAATGTACAAATAAATAATTTAATTATAATTAATTCAGCTCAAAATAAATAAAATATTACGAATATAATATATTTTCAATTTAAATGTATTCTATACTTAAACGGTAATTAAACTAAAATTTTTATTGAATAACTAAATATTCTATGAAATAAATAGTTGATGTATAGTTTTCATGTTTTATTTCATACTTTAATTAATATTCGCAGGTAATTCATGAAATTTCTAGTTATTTCGTAAAATAACGGAATTATTCACTTTATCAGTAACATATACACTGAGTAGTAATGATAGATAAACAACAGTTTTACCAAGTAAAATTTATAATTCACACGACTGGTTTCACCATTGCGTACTCTTAATAAGAGTTTATACTCGTATAAAGCATCAGAAATCGATATAGTCCGTAAGTAAAGTATTTTAAATCTTACTTTTAACGACTTGCAGTTTATATGAAGCAATATAGAAGTGGCCATGTAAATGAAATATCGTTGATAAAATTTTGCACAGGATGAATTTAGGAAGCAATTTTTTTGTGTGGATGAAAATCACTTAAGACGACAGTTTATTTAATCGGAATTTATATAATTATTAAAATAGCAATTTTTCAATTTAGGTAACTGATATATTGTTGTAATTATAAGATTATGGGTTATAGTGTGAATTTTATATATTATTTATACAAAAAAGACTATAAAAAAAGTGATACAGCGATAGAAACATTTATTATTAACAATTATTTTTTTGTCCATAGATTTTGTTTATTTAAAAAACTTATGATATTACAATATACAATACAATGTTCATTATTGAAACACAGTTAATTACGTTAATTATTTGATTGGTATTTATTTATCGTCGATTAATTTTAGTAGTTATAGTTCTAACTTTGATTTATTTTTGTAAATTTCTAATTAGTTAATCTTTACATATCAAAATGAGTGAATGTATATACTTAAATTTATTTGTATACATTTTCGAAAATAAAAATTAAATTTTTTTGATCTGAAGTTCTCATATCGTACAACAAAAATAGTTCTACAGGTATATAAATTAACTATAACTGATAATCACGATATCATAAATATTTCTCTTTATAGCTAGAGCTGATATTCAAATAAAATAATAAACTTGAGTATGGTAAAATTAATTGCGTAAGTTCACTGATTTTTTTAAGCAAGTCAATTTTAAAATGAGATTATGAAACGACTTTCTGACAAACCAGTTGTCAAAGGACATGGGTCAACTAAGATTATTATTAAATGTTTCTTATAACACGGACAACAGAAGGTAAAAAATAACTCATTTGGTAGTATAAAGTTTGACAACAAGTCGACCTTCATCCACGTATCAAAAACGACCAGAAACAGCGATCAGAGTATTATCACGGAGATCTATATGTCAATTCACAATACAAACACCCACAATACTGGTCTTGTTCGTGTATAATAAAACCTTTTACACTAGTCCATGCTGAAATTTAGGCCCTGTTCACACGGGGATACTAAAAAAATAATACAATCTCCAAAAATACTAGGAGACTGGGCAAATGGGCATTGCCGTTTTCGACCAAAAACGTACCCTTCCCTTTTCGGCCGATTCACTTTTCGACCAAATTTAAAATAGGCCGATTCCCTTTTCGATCAAAACAAAAATTTATATAATAAATTTTAAATAATAAAATAATGATGTACAATTTTTGTCAATAATTATTAAAATATTAATATAAAAAAAACTATATTTTTTATCTAGTTTTGATCTCTTATCATAATGAAAATTGCATTTTTTTTTCGAAAAATCGAAACTTTAATTTTAAAAATTTTAGGACTTCGCTCGTTATGCCTGCCGGCTCCACTCACAAACTCGAGTGCCATTGCGTAGTATTTTTTGGGGGGATGGGGCTTCACCCCAAGAGAAATTGTAGTCTAAGCCTAACCTAGTTTTTATACAAACCTTGATACTGTTGCAAATGGGATTATGCTCTGTATGTGAACCTACAACCTCGCTACACAAGTAAGACTCTGGATCGTCATTAATACTCGTTTATTATAGTACATAGGTAGTTTCCATCATAATCAAAAATTGTATATCATTATTTTGTTATTTTAAATTTATTATATAAATGTTTGGTTTGTTCGAAAAGGGAATCGGTCTATTTCAAATTTGGTCGAAAAGCGAATCAGCCAAAAAGGGACAGTTAAAACCTTCCGTACGGTTTTGGTCGAAAACAGACTCGCCCGGACAAATAAGCAAGTGTGCATGTCTGTTTTAATGGAGTCATTCAGACGGTGCTATAGAAATCGCCGAGACCAATAAACTGACGTGACTAATCAACTTGCAACTACTCATGTCAGTTTCCTCGCTACTCTGATCGATCGAATTGCTTCAAAATTACCTGAAATTCATCTTTTTATTTTTTACTGAATTTGTATTGTCTATTATTTTGCTTTTATAAATTTAAATACACAATTCGTGCGTGAAATTGAAAATCATCTCAAGCTATACAATTAAACATAAAAGATCAACTCCAAAAAAAAAAGAAAAAAAAGAAAATGAAGAAGGAGTGAAGTAACAAATTAAGTTACATTACGTAGTAAAGCCACATAATAATAGACGTTTGCAATATTGTAAATGTGGCCTAAACTTAAGGAGCCTATATCTTAATTGATGTTACTCAAATTAAATGTAATATATTCTAAAATATTTGGTAAAAAAATGAATGATGTCTTGTAATAGAAAAAATAAAACTACATTTTCTAAATTTTCATGCAAAAACTTAAAATGATATTATAACAGTTACAATTTATTACAAAAGTACGAATTATAAATAATTAAAGATGTTTGAGAAAAATTTTATGAAATTCTAGAAAAAAATTTTCAATGGGACTAATACCTCAATATTAAATAAAAAAATTAAAGTTATATTTTTTAATTATTTCTTCTTCTTTTTCTTATTGTGCCGATCCGTTTTGGATATTGGCGATCATCATTGATATATGAGTTTTATTAGTTGCACTCCGGAATAGTTCTACTAAACTTTTGGTGAACCATGTTCTGAGGTTGGCTAGCCACGATGTTCTTCTTCTTTCAGACGATCTTTTGCTACTTATTTTACCTTAGAAGATCATATCTACTTTTGTTCCGTATAATATGTCCTAAGTACTGGAGTTTTTTGCATTAAACTGTTACCATTAATTCCTTTTCTTTTCCCATTCTACGCAATACCTTAATATTGGTAATTTTCTCAGTCCATGATATTCTCAAAATTCTTCTGTATATCCATAGTTCAAATACATTTAACTTATTCGAAGTGGCTTTGTTAGAGTCCAAGTTTTTGCTCCATACAAAAGAGTTGAGAACACGTAGCATCTCAGTAGTCGCATTTATAAATGTAGAGATAGGTTGTGGTTCTTGAAAGACGCACTCATTGAATTAAATACATTTCTGGCTTTTCCAATACGACACTTTATTTCTTCTGCGTTGTTCCATTATTCTTTAATGACGGTGCGAAGATATTGGTATTTATGTACTCTTTCTATTCTAGTTTGATTTATGCTTATACATTTATGCTTATTACTTCCTGTGATGTCTTCCTTACTTATAATCATAAATTTATTTTTGTTTGTATTTATATCCAGTCCGTATCTCATGCTAGACTATGCTATTTTATCTATAAGTATTTGAAGGCCCTTAATAGTGTCCGCAAAAACTATGGTGTCATCGGCGTAACGTAAGTTATTTAAACTTGTGCCGTTTATAGATATTCCTTCTTCTACCTCATTTAGAGTTTCTCTAAAAATATATTCAGAGTAAAGATTAAACAAGATGGGTGACAGAATACAACCCTGTCTCACTCCACATCATATTTCAATCTGATCTGTTGTTTCACCTTCCATTTTGAGGACCACTGTTTGTGTCCAATATAAGTTGGCAATTATTCTAAGGTCTTTTTCATTATTTATACATAATAAATGTTTTGTTGAAATAGGACCCAAAAGTATAGTTGGCACCCCCTGAAATAAAAAATCTATGCACATCTATGCACATTACGAAATACTAAAAATACAAATATTAATTTACTAATAATAAATAATATACAAAATATATTAATACGAATAATAAATATTAATATATACGTATTGTAATAATTGTATATAAGGTAACACTTATTTGGAATACCGTGTGTGAAAATAACTGCAATTAAAGTTGCCTAGTTTCCCAGTCTCATATTATCTTGGCGATTTCGGTTTCTTCCTAGTATCCCCGTGTAAAGAGCGCCTTATAGTTCGATCAAATCAGAAATAGTAAAATTAAGCGGTTTATAAATATAATTTGAACAACTATAAAAAAAAAAAAAAAAATCAGTAGTACTTTTCAACATTAGCTATTAATTACTTGATGGAACACGTCGAATGTCATTGGCCATTACAGTTAGTAGATATGTAATATAAAAATATGATTATTCTGTATCTAATTACTTCTCACAAGCAATTAAATGATTTTAATATAACTTTATCAAGTCGAAGGTTATCATTCTAATAAATACTTAAAATAGAAAATTATGTAAAACCATAATAATTGGTGTGTATAGTAGAAACGTGTGAATGTAAGTATTCCGACATTCGGGGTTGGAAAACTAGACTTACAGTAGGTAAATACCATTGAGTGGAAGACATTATTTAAGCTATTCTATTTATTTTTTTGCCGTATCCGATTTCGTCAAAAATTCTAACTGACTGACGGATGCATCTCAGAACCTAAAAATCGAACTTATACGTGGCAAATAACTCGAATGCAATATTTCGAATTCCCACAAAAGTACTTTGATTCCGATATTATTTCTGATCATACTCGATGACCGTCGATTGTTTTATAGCACAACATTTTTTCACCCAGGGTCGATGTCCATGATGAACGCTGGCATCACGGGGGGTTGGCCGTCACCGATCATGCAGGAGATGTTGGGACCGAACAGCCCGATCCCGATGACGGTGGAACAGGGCTCGTGGTTCGCGTCGATCGTCAGCTTGGCGCTGATCCTGGGACCGATACCGTGCGGCATAATGGCAGACCGGTGGGGCCGTAGGCCCGTCCTACAGATCGTCGGGCCGTTGTCGTTGGCCACGTGGACAGCGGTGCTGTACGTGACCACGTTCCCGGAGCTAATCATGGTGCGGTTCGCGCAGGGTCTGTTGGCGGCCTGCGCGTACACGGTTCTGCCGGTGTACGCGAGCGAGATCGCTGGGCCGGAAATCCGAGGTGCGCTGGGAACCATGTACCAGATAATGATGAACGCGGGCATACTGTACGTGTTCGCGGCCGGCGTGTACCTGGACTACGCGCGGTTGACGTACGCAATGATGGCGGGCCCGTTGCTGTCGTGCGTGCTGATGGCCACGTTGCTGCCGGAATCGCCGCACTTCTACGTGATGGCGAACAAGCTGCCGCAGGCCAAGCGCACAATGGTTTGGCTGCGCGGCGACGACACCGACAGCTCGCTGGACGACGACATGAACGCCGTGGTCGAGTGCATTACCAATGAGATGCGCGGCGCGTCGTACGCGGACCTGTTCACCGACTGGGTGGCCGTCAAGATGCTGATCGTCGGGCTGTGCCTGTCCGTGTTCCGGATCGGGGCCGGCGTGGCCGCGATCTGCACGTACGCGTCCATCACGTTCGCCGAGACGCACATGCACGTGCCCGCCAATCAGCTGTCGCTGGTGTTCGCGTGCTCGCTGCTGCTGTCCACGCTGCCGGCCACCGTGCTATCCGACCGGGTGGGCCGCCGGCCGCTGATGATCACGTCAAGCGCGTTGTGCTTCGCGCTGAACGCGATCATATGCGCGTACTTCTACGCAGACCGGCACACCGGGTACGACGTGACCACGTACGGGTGGCTGTGCGTGACCGCCACGGGCGTGCTGTGCTTCACGTTCAACCTGGGCTACGGCACGCTCTACTCGACCATCATCTGCGAGCTGTTCCCGGCCAACACCCGGTCCGCGTCCAACGCCATCAACACCATCGTGCTGACCACCGCGTGTTTCCTGTCCGTCAAGGTGTTCCCCGTTATCGCCGAGGATGGCGGCATGTACCGTAACTTTTTCGTATTCGCGGCGTTCAGCCTGTCCTCGACAGCGTTCTGTTGGCTGTGGCTGCCCGAGACCAAGGGCAAGACGCACGCCGCCATACAACGGCAGCTCCGAGGAACCGACCGCGTTGTCTGAACGGAACATCGGTCCTCCGCACCACGGCCTCATCAAGCGCCTCGTCAAGATCGGCAACAACGCCGAACGCCGACCGGAATCGAGTGGGGCCGAATATCGGTTTTCGGACGAACAACGAATCGAAGTTCAACAAAATTTTGATTTGAACGTGATTATTTTTTCACAAAAGTTTTTTTTTTTTTAAGACAAATTATTAATATTCCTCCCCCTCCCCACCACAAAACGTTGTTCCCCATATTTATTAAACTGTAAAGTACGTGTACACGATTATTCACCGGAAAAGGAACAATTATATTAAAACGCTTAAGTTTCAAGTTTGTTCTTAAGACGCGAATGCATGTTTCACTTGTGCCAGCGTAAGACATTTAAAATGTATTATTTATTTTCTTTTGTTAGTTTTCATACATATGTGTAACGTAGTATACGTTTTTTATAAATTATGTTATCGCACCTATGCGTTGCGTTAAATCATACAAAAAATATGTTACGATTTTGTAATGAATAATTTTAAAAGCTTAACCATCGATGAAAATTATTTAAAATAATTTATTCTATCTTTTCGTTACTCAAACAATTATGTGAATATGTCATAATAATCAATATATATATATATATATATTTACTCGTGTTTAACCTTCATTGTTTACATATCAAATTGATTTTAAACAATTAAAATCATATTTATATGTTAACAAATTCCACGTTGTATCAAAGTCAAATCGTATCCGCTTGCCGGATATAACATCAAGCTAGAATATCAATTTCATATTCAATTAGAAAATTCAGAAGATCATAATAATAATTTCATAGCATTTTATTACCACCCTGAAGGTCATGAAATTTCTTAATAATTTATACCGGATGTAATTAAATCCTAGAAATATCTAACCTCAAGATAATTATATCCGGGTACATCCCCCGGTAATAATTATGATTTGACTGGGACATCAGCACGCATTTCTCACATAGTGAGAAATTATCGTGATGGAGTGTACGACGTGTTTAGTCGTAATGAATCTGGACCAGTCTTACTTATCGATAATATACGTAAATAGTATATATTTTAACATATTTTGTTAAAAATAATATTTTATAACGAACTAACAATTTATCTATTAATTAATTTAATAATTTATTAACACAACATACAAATGTAGTAATAAATATAAAAACATAATATGCTGTGATTTTATTTGGAATATACAACATGAGGTATTGATCTCTTTTTTTTTTGGTCATAAACCGTCTTTCATACTTATTCTAATTTCTTTCTTTTTTATTGGCTGTGTTAACGTTTATTTCATAAACATAGTGGTGCACACAAGATGTTTTTTCGGAGGGGGGTAAGTTACGCAATTAAAATAATTTTCTACTTCAAAGCATTATGGAAAATTTTTGATGAAAGAAGACATTTTGGGAGAAAGGAGGGGTGATGACCCATTAACCCTCTTCTTTGTCTGTATCCCTACATAAATGTAGATAATTTCTGCAGTTGTTATGATGTTATTATTGACCAAAATTTAAACTGCATTAAGAATATAAAATTAACATATTATGATCACTTATTAATTTAATGCGTAAGTTATTTTTCGAATTTTTCTTTGGTTTTTCAGACACAAAGAAGACACTTAAAACAGTAATACAAATCAAATAATTTTTAAAATCTACAATAATTCAAAACTCAAAATTATTAATTCTTAATTTATTTATTTTTTATTGTTCTCAACATTTTTGTTAAACGTGCTATTAATTGTATTCAGTTGCATTTTACTCCTCTTTTCTGACAGAAACAACTTTTAAATAATTAATGGCCTTATTGGCCTTATTGCCCTATTGTGAATGTTTTTTAGATTAATAAAAACAATAAATAAATGTAAGTGATACAACCATTAAAATTTGATTATACGTCATGATATTATGTTGACGCAATATATTGGCAATATAAATATATTGGCATTATAAATATATTGGCTGTTAGTATGAAATTTAAAGATACCGTGCACATTTTACTATGAGTTATCCAACGTGAACACTATTTAGTCATCCCCACTCTGATCTGAATCCGTTGCAGTTTGGCAGCCGGTTTTAGTTATTCAACATAAAACATTTAGCATTTCGTCCAGACTGTCGATCGGTTACACATATTATTATTTAATTGTTATTAATTATCATTATAATTTTATGTTCGCAATACTTGTAAAAAAAAAAAATGTTGAATAAAACAATATAAAAAATAAAAACCGAAAGCCATCAATTAGAAAACATTTTATTACCATATGATCACGTCTACCGCAACAACCTCTACCGACGTAATATAATTCAATAATAGAACATAGTACAATTTTTTATACAAATATACATTATTTTGAATTCATTTTTTTAAACTACAATTGTTTTTCGACCGTTTCTTCTTTAACAAACAATGATAAACAGTGGACTTTTTAGACAATCCATGGCCGTAGTAGCAGGTAAGAAAATTTAAAAACTATCTTAGATTTAAACTTAAAATGTCCGTAATGACTTGACAGTTATATTGAATATTTTGATTGATACTAAGTAATAATACGCATATTTATATAATAAATAATAACCTTACATGGATTTATTTTAACAATATTTTATTATTTGATTTTTGTAACGATTTTATTTGTTTTGATTAGTTAAAACATAAAAATATAAGTAGATTCGTTTTCGAATAGTGATTAATTAAGTTCGATTAGAAAATTAATTATATTTCTTTCAACTATGATGCACATGTATCTAATTTATTTTCTTTAAATAACAAACTATTTGCCGATTGTAATTCAACTAATAAAATTCTAAAACTATGTATAATCTATAGGCTATAATTTATTATTATTATTATTATTATTATTTTTCAATGTCAAAAATTTAGTACTTTACTTCTACATTTATAATTTAGGTATAGTTGTAAAAACTAATAACATTACAATTTTATATTCCAATTTTAATCTTTACTAAAAATTTCTTAAGAAAATATTTGTATTATTAAATTTTATAAACTAAAAATAAAATTTTGTATTACAATGACATCCTTTTGAATTTTTAACGTCTATATATGCAGATACATTTAAATTTTAAATATTGAGTGGTTAATATTTGGGACAACATTAATTTATTATTGTAATCAGAAATTGTGTTTGCTTAACAGCATGTATTTTACTTTCATTAATAAATGCTTGTAAAATCAAATACTATTCTCCTAAACATTCAAATATAACATTTTCTACGAACAAGGTATATGATATTATTGAACCAGAATAGTATTTGTACTTTAATAATTGGTAATCTGATATTAACAATATTCATGTTGTCATATTTAGAACATTCCTATGGAGCCCCATCACCTGTTACCATTAAAATATGAATTATTTCGTAAGTACGAGTAAATTGAATTCATGAGTAAAAGTTATTTACTCATAAATATATATGAGTATATGATTACATTTATATAGTTATGTGTTAAGGTAAGATGGAAATAAATTATTTGTTAAAAAAAAAACTCAAAAAAATGAGTTCAACTCTCAAAAATGGTATGAATAAATTCATTTCGATGATTCCCGCAAATCTTTTAAAGTTTTTTTTAGTTTATTCTAATTATTGTCCATTTTCAATTTATCATAAATAAAAAAACATACTCTGTAGCACAGTAAATTACAGTAGATATTTATATATCATGACTTCTGCGAACTGCTATCACTAGAAAAACTAAGAACTAAATTAATTCTGATATCTGATTTTTTTTATTCAATGAATAATTATTTGAGATTCTGAGTATATATAAATTATTTCGACAATAAGTTTTAATTTCACCCATTAAATTATGAATAATATAATATACGATCAGGGCCGAACAAGGTGACACCACTCATGAGTGCTATTAGTGGTGCTGAACGATATTATATTTTCATGTGACAAGTAAAAAAAATAATAATAATAGTAACTACCCCTTTATTAACTTATGTCCAAAAAGGGGGGGCTATTCCCTCCAACAACCTTCAAGCTATCAATTTTTATTTCTAATGAACATTCATACATTTTATAAATGCAAATAAAATCCCAGATCATATCAATATACATTAAAATTAAAATTGATTAATCTTAATCTTGCAGTACATATTATACATCATTGTAATACTTTATTACTAAATATACTTGCATTAACAAAAACATAAAATATCAAATACATTATGAATTTTTTAAAAAAAACTGTTAATTGCTTTTTTTTAATATATGTTATAGAACATTAAGTACCTACTATAAGTTTTAAGGGTTTTTATAACCACTTCGTTATCAATGTTTATATTTTTTTCACATGGTATAAGCATAAGAGTGGAACCTATCTATCTTCTCCCATAATACTCCAATCTATTTTTGATTAGCTTCAATTTATAAAAAATTCTTTCAGGAAAATAATTTAACACCGATAAAGTTAAACATATATGTATATAATTCTAAATAAATTAATTGAAAAATTTCTTTTAAAAATGTTGGTAACACACCTTTCAAACAATCGAAATTTTTTCTTGGCTTGATGATAATTTTAAGTCTTTTTGATCAATATCACTTTCAGTTTTATGTTATAATCAGTTATATTTTCAGTTTTGAAAATTGAGTCGTATGGCTCACAATTACCAACTGCTTACAATCCTTATTACTTAGTGCTTACAGTTAACCCACTATAGACTTAATATAATTATGTAGTTCTTAGTTCTCACATATAAACACCATAAATTACATAAGTATATAATTAATACAATCCCTATCATTGAGTATAGCTAATATACTCAATGCTAACACTAATAGCATTTATGTTACTTCTTAGAAAACGTCTTATTCTAGCTTAATAACTAAATAATTACTGCTGTAGTACTCTCCCAAAATTGATTTTCTTTTACAGAACTAAACTTTTAACTTTCATTTTCTTATTCCTCGAACCACCCATCCCGTAAAAAGATATGGCGATCGTCACAGTTCATACATGAGTGTCAGCGCTACTGGATGCAATATGTTATGTTTGGTAGGAGATGGGGTTGTAAAATTAATATCTTATCAATAGTGCTACTGTTGCTCAGCTCAGCCTTGTATACGAGTACACCTGCTTTAAAGAACGAGTGATCACGACAATTTTAAACTATTTTCTATTTAAATTTCACTGGTCCAATTTATACAATACATAAATGTAAAATATTTAATATAATTTTGTATAGATATCTTACTTTTTTATAAGCTCGATGACGAATATTAGAAATGATTAATGTTGATGGGTGAATAACTAAGTACAAATATTACTTTTATTTATATTACTAAAATAATGATAAAATAATTACGTAACTGTGATATATTTTATTTCTTCGTATGAAAAATTAGTTATGATTTTAAATATTGTCGAAAATATAAATAAAATATGGAATTGCAATAAGAACTTTTGAATAGCAATATGTATATTAGCACATTTGGGTACATGGTTTTAAAGCATCTTAATAAATGAGAATAAA